CATGCCTCTCGCAGGAGCCTGGCAGCCGCCCGAGCTTCTTGCAAGCATAAACAGACTGAATTTGCTCTTGGCGCAGAAAAGGATGGGAAGATGCCATAAGCCACAATGGATGTCATGCTGTGATGGGGCGGCTGAAGCAGAATCCTTTCTCGATTGGTTCCAGCACGACAGTTGACTGCATAAAGGGGTTGCTCGGAAAAGCTTGAAGGCATGGTGGCAATCGTTCCCGAGCCAAGCCCGGCCTCGTACCTCCAAAACGGCTTCTCATGGCCCCACAACACCACAGATACAGTGCCCGATCATAGTTGTGTTAGCTGATTCTGCCTCCACCCCGTGTTTCCAGAGTTCCAGCAGAGCCCGGTTGCGACTGCGTGCTGCTGGCTTGAGACATTACAGCTGACGGCTGGATTTCAAGGAGGCCCACATTTATCTCTACCTACATCCCATACACTGAACTACGGCACTGCTCACGAACGGGTGCACGATCAGCAGCTAGCACCCAGTTGTCAGAACTCTCTTGCACAACACCGAACCCCGACCTGTATGTGCCCCCACCACGCTTCTAGTTGAAAAGCCACAGAAGCAGTGCTTTCTATCAAGCGAAGTGAAGCTGATGGACTCGCGTGTTTCCAGTGCCAACCGCTCGCACTCAGCTGTGGTGACGGACTAGAGCTATCAGGCGAGGAGAGAGCCATCAATGGCAGATGATCGCGTTGTGCGCTCTGCCTGAGAGGGCTTGATGGATTTTGAGTGACAGCTCACCGGTTCAAGAGCTCCAGCGTGGTGCAGTGTGTTCGCTCCTCGCCGCAGGTCATGGCAAACGTTCCTGAGGCCACCAGCCGAAGTACGACAGGATGGTGCAACCAACCTTAGCTCCTCGAGAGACCCCCCCAAACCAGAACTCCACCAAACCAAGAGACTTCCATCGTGTGGAAGCCTCATCAGCTGCAAGCTGCTGCAAGCTGTAAGCAGACTTGTGACCTTTGAGAAGGTCATCTTCTGCCCAGCTTCTGTCAGGCGGTGCAGCAAAGGCTACTCGAGCTGGAGAGCCAAAAGCTTAGAGTCTTAGAGTGGTCTGCCGTTTAAGCATGATTCTTGGGGTTTGCAGCTTTCAGAGTGTACCCATCCCTATTCTGGGATTCCGGAAATTTTGCTGGCTGCAGATAAACTTCAAGAAGACCCAGATTGGAGTAATGACGAAGGTGTTGCCTTCGGCGCATGTTAGCAGGCGACAGACCATTCAAGCGTAAGCTGGTGAACCGACTTGCTCCGCTCACTGTTGGTGCCGGTCAGCGGCTGCATCTCAAACGCCCGCAGCAACTCGAGAGAGAGAAACCCGTCGGTCGAAGCGGTTCAAAAGTCGGAGGCTCCCATGCCAACAAAGCAAAAACCCTTCGTCCCGACTTCAGGTCTCATCTCCGAAGTTCGCAGCCATCGCAGCCAGTCGTCCCGGGGAAGTCCAAGTCCCCGGCGAGCCAGTGGCCAAGGCCGGGAGCTGTCACGAACACCTTGTCAGAGCCATCTGTGCATCTCTACAGCATCTACACTTTGTTCTGTCCTTCGGCATCTCTAGAGCTGCTTCAGAGCTGTTTTCATATTGACATGTTTTCAGCGAAGTCATATTCTCAAGTCTTATAGCCTAGCCCTGTAAGCCAGGCTTACGACGGCGGCCTGCATCGGCAGGAGCGCGCCGAGGTCCCAGATGTGCTGAGACGCTACTACGCGACTCTTTCAAAGAAGATGGTTCGCAGAGACCATTGAACGGACGGGGACCTAAGGTCCGAACAGGCCTGCATCATCTTCGAACGGAGGATGGCCGCCCTTCAAGTTTGTCGAGCCTTGTTGTGAGGGATTGGTAGTGAAATGGCTTGTTTCTACAATGAGGTCGGAGAGGCAAGGAAACACCAGTTTGTAGCTGTGCACACCCACCTGTGTGCATGCGTGCATGTTTGGATGCACGGCATGCATGCTGTTCATGTTTGTGCGTGGAAGCTCGTTGAAAGCGAGTAAAACAAGTAGACAGGCGGACGCTGATGACATGTTCGACTGCCCGAATCGTCAATGCAAATACTTGTTGATATACTTGAACTGACTTGAACGCCTACTTGCTAGCTCTTTTATGCTCTTTTGTGGCGCTTGCACATCAAGTGGGTTGGCGACTCCCAACGAAAGGTAGTTGAGCTTTCCGTGGAGGTTTGCTTCAGCATGTGGCTGTCAACATACGACACCCTGGGTTGCGGCATGCATACCAGGTTAAACGTTTGTCGCGACGTTCGTCGCGTTTGAAGGTGCGTGCATGAATTGCTGCTGAGTCTGGCGGATTACAGTAGATTGTCTCCAGGAAAATCCGCAGCTTGCAGGCAAGAATCTCTGTGCCAAGCCTTGGCCACGCACATGCCAAACACTGTACAAGACCCGCAAGGTCCAAAATACCCCAAAGTGGCAGTAGTGAAGTGGGCGCTGCCCAGGAAGACGATCAAATGCCTGGCACAAAGCTCTCATGTCCTGCATGCTGACGAGACTTTCGTGGAAAGCTCGGCCAGGTCACCAAGACCCCACTCTGCGCGCTCTGTAGTGAGCTTAGTGTGGCATTCTTGTCCAGACTCTCTCGCATCATGTTGCTACACTTCAGGACACTAGAAAACCTGCACAGTACATAGTTTCCACCAGCAACCTAGCATGTTTGACTTAGTGCTCTCTTCCATGTATGTGGCAACCGCCCTGATTACCTACCTCCCCCTCACACCTGCCTGCCTGCTTGCCTGCTTGCCGGCTCGCTTACGTGACTCTTCCAAAGAAGTACGACGGAGGGTATCGTCAATGGCCAAACTCAGCTTGATGAAGAGGGTTTGGATGTTGAGCTTTTAGTGTGTGTGAGTTGAGGCGGACAGTCAGACAGATAGACGGAGACCGGCAGACACAGACGGAGACTGAGACAGAGACGGAAATAGCAAAACAGCTTCAGGCGCCGATCCCGACAAGGCCCGCATTTGTATATATATGTATATGTGTGTGTGTGTGTGTGTGTGTGTGTCCACAGCTCACGGTGGGCCAGGTCGCTCGATGCTGGGTTTTGAGGCTGACGGTTTCAGGGTAGTTACAGGCACTGGCAAACGATTGTTTAAATTTCAGGAGCGGAGTCTGGCTGTGAAGATGCGGTGATGCTGCAAGCCGTCGTCTTCAATAGTCAATAGTGCTTTTCTGACTCATATTGATCCAGCAAAATCTTGGACCCAACTGAACACAGTACAGCCAGTAGGACCTCAGCACCAACTGGCCACAAATTCGCTTGGACTTCCGATGCTGGCAGGGAAGACGAGGACCATCAGCGGGCACAGGCCAGCTCCCAGACTGAGACGCAGGGCTCCGGTGTTGACGATTCTATGAAGGAGCGAAATTCACTCAGCCAAAAATTCGGCCAGTGGTGCAGAAGATGCTTCTCGAAGCCTCCTGGGAGCCTTTTGACAAGACTGACCTGCAAGCTGCTTGCAAGCTGGAGGCCAGCCCACGGGGGCCAACGACGCAGGACTTCCAGTCCATGCTGGAGCTTGTCGGGTCGAAGGCGTCCGGTGTGGTGCGGAAGGGATTGCAAGGGCTTCGGAGGGCACAGGCGTGGGACGATGTATCCCGCAACGGCATGACCTTCTGTAGCATCCTAGGACTGATCTCGGTTGGATAGTTTAGATGTCGGTCAATTCGCAGCAGAGGCAGCCGCGAGATTCACCTCCTTGCAGCAGTGCTTCCGAATGGCCTCCCGTCAAGAAATGAGCTTCGGAACAGCCAGTGCCATCTTGCAAAGCTCAGCATGGAATAAAGAGCCTCGATGGAATGGTTCCTGTACTGAGCGGGAACTTGATCTTCGCAGGTTGCCTCGCGCATGGGCTCTAGTCGATGTGTTGCAGGAACATAGGAGAGGCATCCCGCGCATGGCAACCCTGGAAATACATGAATGGAACCCAAACTTCTTGGGTGGTGGTATCATGTTATGTCTTGTGTTGGCATGTACAATGTACAACTTCAAGACCACGCGAGCCCGGGCTCGAGCACGAAAGGAATGAGTAGAAAGGGAGTGAGTATGGTTTCCTGCACCCTAGGGGAGTGGGCCAATTAACAGTCGCCGCGACAAGTGGCAGAGTTTCTGATTGTAGTGAAGATGAAGAATCGCAGCTTGTAAACGAAGTTGGCTATCCAGCAGTACATGAATCTAGAGAAAGCGACGAACTGCGAGACATTTGGTAAGGAATGTTGCATTCGGGAGTTCTGCGAAATCCGAAGAGCCAACCCCAGGACGTGCTCGAACTTTTAGAGCAATCCGATCATTTAGCTCCAACGCAAGTTGTTGGAGATGAGAAATCTTTTATGAGCTACAGATGCTAGAAAAGTATCCTACTGCAGAGATTCCAGCGCTGCTTCACACTGCATTAAAGAATCGTAGCTGAAACCAAGCTGAAACTTGTTCCGCTGAGCTTGCCTACGCAAATTGACCATGACATCTAGAAGACTCATACAGAATGACACCGCGCTGAGTTGGATGCCGACCACAATGGCAGGGCCGTGAGCCCAGAAACCGCCGTTGCTTGAGTGTTTGTTTGACTCTTGTCTCGGGGGCGTTCGTTCTCGCGAAGCGAACTGTCTTACACCATCCTACCAACTCTCGACATTCGGGCTCCACGTGCTCGCAACGTCGAGCTGCTGTGATCGTGTGTCGCCGACAGCTGCAATGTCACGCGACAATATGAATGCCAGCCGGATCAAGCATGATAGTTGCTGCGTCACCCAGAGAGTGTTCATCCAGAGCGTAAGCTTGCTCAGAGCATGGTCAGGTACGACGCCAGTGAGTCCTTCATCGTTTATGTTGGTCCTAACGAGTTGGAATACATAGGACCTCGCACTCGTTCCTTTCTCGAGCCCAAAGAGCCTCACAAGCTGGACTTCGATCTGAAACTGCTGGGACTTGTCAAAGCTGTCTGACCTCAAAACTTTGCATCACGCAAGCTGCCATGGATGGCGCGGCTGAAAGTCCGGTTGCTTCATCTTTTCGAGATGCTCGCGCAGAGCTACAGAGCCCTGATTGACTGTGTGCATTTCACAGTGATTTTGGAAGATTGGGATGGGGTGGAGGGCCTGTCGCAGTCGAATTGAACGATTGTGACTTTGGTAAGTCTGGCTCCGCCCTGCGCTCAAAGGAACGCGTTGTCTGAGCTGCAAACCGACCTGGCGAGGGTGCTCGAGGAGAAGGCTTCCGGGTTCAGTATTCAGAACCTCAGAAGTTACCCAAAGTCGGCTGGCTTCTCTTAAGCCCACAAAAACCGCAGGATCCATCAGTGGACCTACTAGACCCGGTTTTGACGCTTGCTTTCGCTTCTTTGGCTTTCGTTCGAAGATGTGGGGCTGATGCTACTTTTGAAACGAGACTGGAAGGCTTCGGGGCCCGGTGCCGCAAGTTTTTCACAAACATGGAGACTCGCTGCGCCAAGCACCTGCACGATCAGTGTGATGTGCACTTGAAGGTGTCCGACTTTCAGATGCTTCTGGCGGAGTTGCCATCTGAGCTGCCGGCAGCAATTCCAATTATCCCGGCGCCTGTGCAACTCTTTTGCAACATTTGCCCGTGCTTAGAATTTGGAGTGTTCGATGTCCTCATCACACTACGAGAGTTTGCTCTGCTCGAGCCCCTTGCAGCAACCGCTGCATCAGACAGAGCATTGTCGTCAAATCCATGTCCCTGGCAACATTTGCTCCGAGGCCGCAGCGTGACATGACAAAGGAGTTGATGGAAGCAGGTCCTGTGGTCGAGAAGGCGGTCCGGATTGAGGCCGAGATGTGCGGAACTGTGCGCATGTTTTTCCTTTAGCCATAGGGCTCATCTGTTGACAGCCTTTGAGCTAGGGCATCGAGACTGTTTGCACTTGCATGTTGCTGTGGGTGTGCCGATGCAGAAAGATCGTCTGCATCAGCTAAACATCGCTACGCCGCAGTAGGGAAGAGAGCCAGAGAGGAGTTTCTTTTCAGGGCATGGAGCTCCACTCCGGCACATCCGCGCCTCGATCGTCCGCCCGATCCACCAGAGCCAGTGGCATGAGGACTCTGGAGCAGGAGCTTTTCGTGTCCAAGTGGCTTGGCCGCTGTAGCTTAGGCTTTCTGGTTATGGTTTGTCTGTCAGACTGTTTTTCATGGTCTTGGACCGAACTCTTCGTGCTGCGACGAGGCATTAAAGTCCAGCCGGCCTATTGAGAAACCTCATTAACAGCTGGACTGCTTTCAGAATAAACATTTCCGTCACAGCCTTTTCCGTGCCCTGGGTTGTGTTTGGCACTTTGCATTCAACGTCTTGACCGTCCAAGCTGCATTCTGAGTCCATCTGGGTCCAAGGAAAGCTGCGACGAATTCCCAGCGAAATTTCCGGTGAGCCTGCTTGACTTGAGAAACCTCATGTGTTGGTCCACTTCAGTGCAAATCTTGAGTATCTTCACAAGTTTGGCAGCCTAGAGTAGGATCGGATCCGAGAAATCCGAGAAACAGCAACGGGCGCGGAATGCACGGTAATTCCGAAACTGATGCCCCGAACTTTCTGCTGCCTTTCAGTGCTTTGTCGAGAAGCCCATGTTCGTCTATGCTCAGCCACTGTAGGCAGAAATAATGTTTTTCGACCCTGGCTCCGCGCAGAAGCCATCCCTAGGGACGTTTCACGGACTTGGGCTTCAGAAGTCTTTTCTGTACAGACAGAGACAGAGAGAGACTACAGAGAGAGAGAGAGAGAGAGAGAGAGAGACAGGCACGTTATCGTGTTCGGCACTATGTTCGGTTGCTGTCGCTCACTACCCACTGAAAGAAAGGTCTGATGCACGTGTCCTGAAACCATGGATGATCCCAGGTATTTCATAGTCCAATATACTGTGTTTGTCACCCTGGGGGACTCCATGCCTTCTCACGCCCTACCGAAAGCCCCGGAACAAACGGGGGGCCTGACCAGCCCCTTAAGCCCTGCAGAAGAAGAGAGCGCCTCTGCAGGGAGAGACAGAGAGAGAGAGAGAGAGAGAGAGAGACTACCCATAGAGAGAGAGAGAGAGAGAGAGAGAGACTGCAATTCGGCAAATTGCAGAGCAGCATCAAACCACCGATGCGACAGTAAACATTATACACAATGCAGAACAAGCACTCATCCATCTGCTTGTCGACACACCTACAGCAGACGCCCTCGATGGTAGCCTCCAAGGAACAGACCCCCAAGGGGGGATCCAGGCCCAAACAGGGTCCGCAAGCAGTTCACACGGGGGGGGGAGTACCGACATCACAACAGTATGCCGACAGCAAGCATACACAGCGGCAGCCGCACTGATCATCATAGCACGACAACAGCTAGCCGATGAGGGGAGATGTGTCACTTATGGAATGCTCGAGCCGCACATAGCTGCTCTCATGGCATGGATGCAGACCCTACCCATGGACGACATTGCCATGAACATACAACTGCCGCCCATCCTTACGCCGCTGCGGGGAATATTGAACAATGTGCTCGACAATAGCGCCGGCGCGACCGACTGGGCAACCCTGGTGGCTGTGGGGGAAGCGATGCAAGCCCTATGCGCTGGCGGAAGCCTCGTCCACCCGGCAAATGTGGTGGGGATAGCAGAAGGTGGCACAGAGAACCCACTGGCAGTCCGAGAGCAGCGAGACCCTGCGTGGCGACAGGCCTTGACGCTACTCCGCCACCTGATGGAGTCAGTTGAGGAGTGGCCGGGGGAAAGCCTGCCGCAGATACAGGAAGCTGCGATGCAGCTCGTCCGCCAGATCTCTGCGAGAATCCCCGAAAACTCCCGCGGTTTTCCAGGCGGGGGAAGTGAATGGTGGGACACAGAGCGCCACCACGGCTTGGGGAACAACGCCTACTATGGTTTGGTCATGGATCCGCCGAGCCCGCGAGAGCGCAATGCAAGACGAGCCAGAAGCCCAAACAGTGATGGGGGAGACAACATGTCCAGCGACAGCCACCGACGGCGGCGAATGCTGGCTGTGCACATCCACGAGCACCTCTGACGGGGGATGAGAGATGGCGGTAAATTTTGACTAAGTATGTCTCAACCATGATGTGCTGAAGGGAATGGGGTCTTATCCGATGTTGTTAGGTTTTGTGACGTTGCCGATGTTTTCCCTGAGCACAGCATGAAAGGGGGACAATGCCCTGACGAGATCTTAGCTGAATGTTTGACAGAACGAAACCCGGGGGAAAGTATGATGTCCTGTACTACTAGAATCGTCCAAGCGCTTTGTTATGGTAGACACACCCCCGGGGAATGCTACAGAAGCTTACCAAGGGGGATGAAACCGTTAACACTTCGCAATTCGGCTCAGTTTATATTCTAGAGCTTCAACCACCTCCGTAAACATGTAGTATCTGGCACCTGGCTCGGCGCCTAGTGTGGGCCCCAGTTCGTGGCATTAGCAACACCCTGCTTTGATACTTCCCTGATGCTTACCTACATACTCAACTAGGCGCCTGATGATGAGAGGGGGAAAATACCTCGCTCAACACAACCTAGCCTTGCCGAAATGTTCCTGAACAAAAGGGGGATGTGCAGAAAAACTAGGTATACTAATGTACCTTTCAGGACTATTCTTTGCCTTTTTACGACGCACAGACCCCTGACCTGTCGTAGAGCCTTTGTCCGATGTGTTGGTGAATAACCCCGGTATAACTAAATAATATTTGTATGCCATCGCGGGAATAACCAAACTGGGGGGAAAGCCATCACGAAATCTTCACGCCCTTCCAAAGCCCCACGAACATCGGGGGGGCCCTTAGGGCCGGGGGGCTTCGAACACCCCTAATGCCCCGGGGAAGAAGAGAGAGAGGGAGACACACACACACAGACAGAGAAAGAGATGTGTTTACATATTAATATGTGGATAGATAGATGTACACGTGCTGTAAACACATACACGCACAGTGAGTTACATCATGAATGATTGCACAGGCAAAAGAACAACGGGACATAAGTACATAAGCAAACATCTACACACGTACATAAAGACGCATCGAATCGGTCCATCATACATGTATGCTGCATACAATGTTAACGCTATCTATCGAAACCGAAACGGTGTGCACAGAGGCCTCTGACAGACGGGGGATGGTGCATTTGCTCAATGGCCTCTTTGTTGCTTCCATCCGGGGCTCCGGGATGGTGATAACACAGGCGCGAGAAGTCGTACGTCGGCTACGTGCAGAAGGGCCTCTTGCCGGATTTCTGCCGGTAGCGGTCTCTGTGTGTTTTTTGCTTTGACTGGACGAAGAGCTCGATTTAGAAGACACTATACACTATACCCAGAGCTCGGTTTAGGACTTTGAGCTGTTTCCTGGGTTTCGGCTCATGTTGCCCCTGATGCCCGCCCGATGCCCCCACCCCTCCGATAGACGAAGGATTTGTCATAAGGCTTCGACTTTAGCTGCAGCTTGCCTTCGAACTCACAGATTGGCTTCAGGCTCTTTCCTCGGACTCCTCGTGGATTCCGTTGGTTGCAGAGCTGGGCTCAGTTGTGAGAATGCATGCTTTGCAAAAAGAGGACACCTGGGATGCGTGCCCCTGCTGTAAACGGTGACACGCATTGTCCTGAGGATCCTTCTTTGAAGGAGCCCTCGGAAAAGTGCCTCGGACTCCTCTTTTGTGAGGGCTCTTAGAAGATTCTCGTGCTTGCCAATGACTACGCTTACGGGTCTATGGTTCATCAGCTTTAGTTAGAGGGCGGGACCATCGAGAAGTTTTAGTTTGGATTTGAAATGAAAGTTGGACCCTGGAGGGGCAACTCTGCAGATGTTAATCTCCGCAAATTCACCGTCTTAAGGCCTTACAGTGAGGTCAGGGGCCGGTATCAACCCTGAAGCCTTCAGCACTTACTCGACTGACCCGATGAGCCTCGGAGTTGAGGTGGACCAGATGCGTGCGCTGCAGGCCCACAGCAGAGAAAATTGCAGTGTTCAGTTCTGTGGCTCATCCATGAAGAGATGCCTCACGTTAAGCTCTGATTCCCTGATTCCGAGCCACTCCAGAGGCAGGAGGAGAGAGAAGAGAGAAAGAGAGAGAGAGAGAGAGAGAGAGAGAGGGGAGTGTGCGTCAGCAGTTATTGCTGCGGGGGCCTTTGGTGGTAACCTGATCTTGGCCCGTTGTTGCAAGTGCAGGTTGGTGTCCCACGAACCTGAGCTCGGCCTCTGTGCCAATTAAATTAGGACCCCTCTATTAAAACTCAAGGCTTTGAAGCATCGCTTCCCATCGGTGTGTCGTTTAATTTGGACTGCATTGTTCCAGCTCGGGTTCACTGTTTCTCGGTTTTTGTAGGCAACTTCCTTCCTTTACTTCTTTTACCATCCATAGTTCTGTCGCGGAGCTGGCAGGAGCCGCTTCGCAGCGGCTGCTGTGCGAAGTTGGTCCGGTCATCGGCCTTCCAGTTCGCCCGGAGCCTACCCATAAGCTGTTGCCAGGTCGAGCAGAGTCCTTGGTTTTGGGGACATGGTTTGACTGCCACTTTCAAACATGCCCTGTGTAAATTTGCGGGCGGCGACTCGAGCCACCCAAGCCCGATGCAGCAGGGGTCAGGCAAGTCAAAGCGGAAGCCCTCAAGCTTGCAGCCCTTGTTCTATTGCTGATCCCTATCCAAGCAGATTTGCGTGCAACGAGCCAGCTATAAGGTCACGACCACTGTCATCATGGCCAACTGCCTGACTCTGCTGATCTCAGCGAGCCTTGCTGCATGCGGGTCGTCGTAGTTCTCTCAGCATGATCTCATTTGTTGCCGACTTCACGGCGAGAGGACACCCAATGACACAATGATGAGAAGCAAGCATCAGCCGCAACACCTAAAACGAAGCAAGCAGCATGAATGGATTCGGGGTTCCTGTGAGCCTACAGCTTCCTAGCCCAAAGAAGCAAAATCCATGCGCGACTGAAAGCACAGCTTTTGTTCCACGATCTTGCCATGCCAACATCAGTGCCCAGAACGTGCAGCGGCAAACAAGACGTGACTGTCGGCATTGCAGGAATTGGGCGATGGAGAACCAGAGCTTCGACATCCCCCAGGAGTTACGGTACTTAGACCTCGGGTTTACCATCTTCTATGCGGCTTGGCTGCTTGGGATAAGCCGCGTGTTTGGGGCCACGGCGAGCTTCGCGTCTTTTGCAGGCTTGTGGCTTTGGCAGGGCTTCACAGGTAGACCGGACCGGTGACAGGCGCCCGTGCCTGGAAAAAGATCCTTGGTCGCTGGAGTGGTGCCAAGGTCACAAACAAGCAATCCATAGGCGGGGCACAGTTCTTTGGCAACTCAAACGGACTTAAAAGTGGCCTTGGTTTGCGAGAGTCGGTTCGAGCTTTTTGCCTAATCTGCATCTCGCGTGGACGAGGCTTCATCGTACCCCCTGTTGCACGACAAAACGTGCGATCACGATCGTCTGCATTCTGATTCGTGTAAACAAATAACCAGCTTTAGGTATTGGAGCTGCTCCTGAAGCCGCTGTGCCGCAAATTGTTCAACGTGACTTTCGGAGCCCTGCATTTCAGGTTTTGGGCTTTTCAAGGTCGAGGCACGCAGGCATTCCGGAGGGCATGTGTCTCTGGCAGCGCCGAGGAAGGGTTTACGGATGTTTACGGTTTACCGCAATCCAGAATCCACTGTGAATTTGGGCAAGGTTCTACGTCCATCGACTCTTCTTCTTTTGGCGTGAGGACTGGAAGTGGAACGTTTTCGCTTCTCGGCTTGGGTTGGAGGGGGCCCTGGATATCGAAAGCCTTGGCTCCGCCACCTTTGCCGTGTATGCAGGGGGTTTTCTTAGGTTGTTTGTAGGAATCTTTCGGGTCATGTTTCCTCTGTTTTTGGGTCTAGACAAGCATGCAGCCAGGAAGAAATCCAGAAGCAGAAGGAGAGAAAGAAAGGCAGAAAGAAATGGAGTAAGAAAGGCAACAAGAAGGACAATCAAAACCACAGCAAGCAACAACCAAAGCATTAAGTAAATAACTGCCGAATTTGAAAAAACCTCAACGACAGAGCAATATGTACGCAGCGAACGACAACACGATGCACGAACACATAATATAGACTGGAGGCAGTGACATCAAGAACAAAGAGGAGGAACAAAGAAATACCAGAAAAATAACGAAGGACGAATGACGGATCTCAGTTTGTCTGTCTACCGCCATCGCTTAAGGGGGCCGTCACGGCATTTCTCAAACGCGCCCCCTCAATTGGCGATGGCGGTTGATAAAACCCACGCCACCCATTCGGCGATGGCACACTGACGGCTCTTTGTTTTACTCCTTAGGCACTCATTACGCGACGGCTGTTGCACATTTTCTCAAACCCGCCACCGCCGCTTCAGCGATGGCAGTTTTTTCAATGTCTTAAACCCGACCCCTCCTCAGTCCGGTGATGCCTGTTGATCACATTTCTCCCTCGTTACCCCCCCGGCCCCCTTGCAAACACAATGCTCGAATGACGGGTACGGAAAAGGTTTTTAGGCCAGTTTAGGCCATGTCTTGAACCCGCTCCCTCGTCGGGCTGACGAGTTCCCTTCGGTGCAACATCGTCAGCTGAGCGGCGGGCAAAAAATCGGGCGGACGGGAGCTGCCCCGACAAACCGCAAACTGTAAGCCTTGCATAGGTTTCTATGAGGCATCTCACTACTACTGCTTGAGTGCTATTCCTGACTGCTACGGCTGCTGCTAATTCATGACCACAAATACTGTTAGGAACATGCAGCGACGACAACGACGCGAGGACGACTCCTTTTAAATTGGCTTCCACAGCAGCGTTTAGATGGGAATTCCCGAATAGCCTGCATCAGCAGCGCAAGGCTGCCCCATGCCAGCAGAACAGAAACCAGGTCCGAAACAGATCTCCACCTGCTTGCTGCATCACACCAAGGATTTCGTGCTTGTAGCGATGGCTGTGCAAGAGCAGGTGGTGGAGTTCCTCATTCAACACGAGGCGGATCTGAATGTACCCGATATATCACAGCTTGAAACTCGTCCACGGGTTTCCTTTGCATATTGCCTTTGCGGGGTTCCTCATGATATTCAAGGCGCCGGAGTCCGCACTGAACGGACAAGAAGCATGACGCAAAGTAGGGCGGCAAACCCGCAGACCCGCAGTGGCAGTGAGCATGGACAGACCGAAGACGCAGAGCTCTTGGCAGGCGGGTACGGTGACGAGACTGTCGTACATGCGCTCTCTCCGCGTGGCACGAGTGTCAAGGATCCTCCGCTTGACCCCTGGCTATGATTCGCCGTGATTGTGAGACTCAAGTCAACGTTGCAGCTTTACCCCAAGTCGTTTCGTACTCCGCTTCTGAGGCTGCGAACTCGAAAGTTAAGTTCAGGGCAACTATGTAAAGCTTCAGGGTTCACTGCTTGGACTTCGGATGCAGTGCCAGTGCGAGATGTTAGCTGTGTCTCTGTCCTATGTCTAAGATGGCAAGCGCTCGTCTTGGAAGCTCGGACATCCACAGGTTAAGAGCGATTCGCGTGATCCGCGAGCTTCGCATGATGGTCTTCTCCATCATCAGTTCCTTCACTGCTCTGTTCTGGTGCTTTGGCCTGACTTACAGGAGTCAGGGATGTAGAGCGATGTGCGAAGCCGTTCGGCTTGGAGGAGCTTCGTCTGTACTGTGAGCATCCAGTAAAGGGCTACCTTGAACATGCAGCGCGCACGCGCGCCTTGTGACAACAAGGTGCTTGGTTCTTATCTCGTTGGTCATTTGCGTGTTTGCCTTGTTCTTCCTCCAGATATGCACCGACTATCTGATTGTGGAGCGGGACTCAATCGCCGAAGATGTCTACATTGACTTCCAAAGAACTTTTGGATCCCTCACGAAAACGATGCATCTCGGCTTTTGTTCAAGCACAAGTTGTTTGCGCTGGTGCTGGTGATTTGCGTGGTGGTTGTACACATTGTGGGTTGACGACGTAGCTATGACACCACGCGTTTGGGCATACTATACCGGAGTTCGAATCAATGAGTGCGGGAAATAGACTCGTCGTGGCCCATGCATGCAAGTCCAAAAGTCGCATTGATATTCTGCTAATGGTCGAGCCTAATTATTCCGCTTCTCCCCGTAATCGTTCAGATTTATTGGAGACCCTTTGTAAACAGTTTCGGTATACTGCAAGGACAACCCTTTACCTGGCCACGACTGGGGGCTTCGACTGGGAGCGTGCCCTTTCCCTGCGACTGCACTGCGCTTGAGTCTTTAACCGCCTTCGGAGAGGCAGAAGCTGTGGCATGGGACTGGGACCTTGTAACGATGCCGCAGTATCCCTGAAGGTAGATAGACTCTAGACTCCAGATCTGCCTGTTCTGCCGGTCCATGAGGGCGCAGCAGTTTTTCGAATCCCCTTTGCGCCCCATTTTCAGCCCTCTCCGATCCCTCAATCCCCAAGCCCTGTCCGATCCCTCGACCAAGGTTGAATCGTGTGGGCGTTGTTGGATCATGGGCTTGGCTCTTTTATATCGTGCCTGGGACCTGCATGGTGGTATTTTAACCGCTTGGCGTCGCCCGCCTCGGCCCGGCTGCACGCACATGTGCCGAATTGGTTGGAGGTGTTGGTCAAGGGTAAGCATCCGGAGCCTGCATCGCTACCCCGTGAAAAGTTGCCTTGCTGAAGAGAATTCTTGAGCCGAGATCTTGCAGGCGCCAAAACCCAGCAGTTTGAGTGTACAGGGGATTGCTTCTGCGCAAGTCCTCTGCATAGAAGCGCGGTACCTTGCACAGCGGGACCTGGGGGCAAATTCGCGGGTTCACAGAGACGAGAGGGCGGGGGCAGGTGGCCAGTTTCGGGGCGAGGGGAGGGGATTAAGAGGTGGGGAATAGAAGGAGTCCGTACAGTAACTCGGCCGGGGCGAGGCGAATATAAAAACCGTCGCATGCAGGGACCGTGAGTGATCGAGAAACTGTGCGATCAGTGGAGCGTAAGTCAACAGAAGGGCAATTACAGTGCCCTCCTTCGCCGTGTCCTTCCTTTTGCATTCCAGAATGTCCACCCTGTACTCTTGCCTGCCCAAAGCAGACGGAAGTGATGCCATGTTCCGAAATCCAGCGAACGATGCAAGGGGCGATATGGGATGTTCGAGCTCGCAAGCTGTAGTGTAGTTGAACAGAGTCCGCGCCGGCACTCCGGGACATCGTTCATGGAGGTACCGAGGTACCACCCATAGGGCAGATGTTTTGGGCATGCTCTGTGAGTCTGTAAGTGTGGCACTTGCCCCGAAACCTTACGACGACAGATGGATTACAAGCTTGGCTGTACCAAACTCCAAGACGAGAAAGGAACGCGTTCGCTCGTTGGGGCATCACTGACTCAACTCCCCGAGGCATTCTTCAATTTCGCGCTGTTCAATGCAACTCGGCTATTGGCAGAATCTGACACACTAGGTATTCCAAGCCAAGCAGGCGCTTCCCTTGGCATCGAATTATTGTAACATCCTAGTTCCAGACCTCAGCTGATTCCAAACCTCGCGTCTGGCTTGCAGGGGGTGCATCATGTCAATCACCGAGCTCCATCTAAACCCACGTCTGGGATTCGCACAACATGATTGGGCACCCCATCGTGTGGACAAAAGCCAGCTTCATTTTCAGAATCACACGGATGTCGAAGGCGAGTAGATCCTATCGCTCCAAGTGCCTCCTAGCTACAAAAATGCCATCTGAAAACGCAGATCGATTGCAGTAGCAGCAAGTGGCCGACACTACCGCTGCAGGTGCTTACAGGCATGTTTGTTGATCATGCGATGAAGTGGTCGCAGAGCGATAACCAGAGACTTGGCGCAAACCGAAAAGTCAGCATGCTCCTGATTGGGAGCTGTGAGGTCCATGTCGGGGGGACACTGCGGGATACAGAATTTCTTGCAAAACTGAAGCATCTCTGTCGCCGAGTTTGAGAGTGTCGTGGTAGTGTCCAGTGTTCAACACTTCAGAAGAAGTTGTTGGGTCGTTGAGTTGCTACAGGTCTGGAAACATGCTGACGGGCACTAGTGGTTGTGAAGAAGGTTGGTGCCGTGGTGGGCCTCAAAGAATTGGTCGATAGCAGGCCAGCAGGAGCCTCAACGGTTGCAGTGGTACTGTTCTCGACATTGTCTGGCTAAATTTGCCGCTCCGCTTGGGTCCGTGGTTCAATTGTGGTAGCCAAGGAAGCAGCTACCGTAGCTATACGTGGCTAAAGGCGCTGCTACTTGTGCGACGTCCCTTGGTCCAAGCGGCAAGGAATCTCATCACCGAGCATCGGTCCCAAGAGCTCCAGGATGCTGCACGTGTCTTGCCCTCCATAACAGGGAACTTGTGGGGCTCGCTTCAATGGGGGGAGGGGAGGGCGGCGAGGAGAGAGGAGGGCAGAGGGGTTCGACGGTTCGACGAGCTTGTGTCACAGAGTTATAAACAGGAGCTCCTTTTGTTTATGTTTTCGTTTTGGTCTGCTGTGTCCTTCCATTTCGTCAATGTTTTTGTTGCCGTTTCCTTCTGTGCATTCCTTCGAGCTTCTTTCGTCGCAGTCTGCCCCAACTTGCATACATACATATATATATATGTATATATATATATATATGTATATATATATATATATATATATATATAGCATTTGCATGCTTGCATTCGGCACCCCTTGCTCTTTTTCGCGTTGTTGTTGCTTTCCGGTGCCCTCCTTGGGACCGCCGTTCCTCGGAACCTCCGGCGGCAAGACATTCTAAATTTCGTCCATGCCGATGCGGATTGCTGCAGTGCCTGCATCCTCGATCCTCGGAAGGACGAAGCAAAACAGAATCCAGAACGGAAGTACCTGCAGGGTTGCAGACTTTGACGCTACTGGTAGAACCGACGAGTGAAACACAAATTCAAACTCAGAAGAACAGAAAGCAGCTTGACGGCTTGACGTCAAACGGAATCATGCCTGCCCCATTTCAGGATCTGGAAACCATGAGCTTAGCCTTTCCATCACTCGCCAAGTTTGAGTTGTGTTGCTGACGCTGCGAAAGTCACGGTAAGGTTGTAGAGTTGAAGTCTGTTCGGTTGTCAGACCTTACAAAGACCGAAGATGACGCAGGGCAGGTCGCCAGGGCCGCTCGCGTCTAGTCGTGGATCCTCGAAGCTTCGATGACAAATCCTGCTGCTTAGGACTGCAGCGGCTGTGCGAAGCCATTGATACCGAGAGCACGGGAAGGATATCGTGGGAAGATTTTGAGTCATTTGCCCCCTGTCTTCATGCTTATCTTAGCCGCATGCGCTGCTTCGCACAGCGCATCAGATTCAATTCCGTTTGATTCTGGCCTCAGCTGGAGCATGGTGGCATAGTGGCCTGTTCGGCTCTTCATGGTCAGCTGTTCGCACCCATCCTCAGTATCACTAGCTTTGCTGACATGGTTGCTGGGGGCACCGTTTCCAAGCACGTCGCATGCACTGGTAGCTTTGCCTAGCGTCGAGCAAGTTGATGCCATTGCCGTACTGATGCGGCTGCAATACAAGGTCTCAGATGAGTCGGCTCTGATCTACTTGGCTTCCCTTGGTCTCGAGATTCATGATGCCAAGACTTTTTTCGACATGCTTGCCGGCGTGGCTTCGGACAAGTACATCGACATCGAGACTTTCGTGAAAGGTGGCTTGGAACTGTGAATCTTGTTTCATCGGACATGCAGAGCTTTTTGTGATTGCAGCTTCAGGCTGCATGCGCATGAAGGGGCCGGCCACGAGCATCGACATGCTGTCGATGGCCTACGAGGTTACTCTGGCGTCGTCTGTTTGGAGGAGCAGAAGCCGAAGTCATAAGTGGATAAGAAATGTTGGGAAGGTTTTGCTATCTGCCTTCCTGCATCTGCACTGCCGAAACGGTACAGGGGAATCTCTTAGTCTCTTCACTCAGTCTTCACTTGAATCTGGCCGCGATGATTGCACCGTAGTGATTGCAAGCAAGATTTGGCCAGTTCTGCAAGATGGAGCCGGCCGGTTGACAGAAAGTGCAGGCGAACACGTTTACAGGCCGACACCAGCACAAGCCACGTCGGCTGTATGCTCAATCGCTGCTATCCCGCTATGCTGTAGACACTTGCTTGGTAGCTAGCGATCCTCCGAGGTTACTCTCATGCACCGCCAGAGCAACCGGATCGAGCGGTCCCTTGTAGAGGTGCAGACGTTTCAGCGCAAGGCTCTGCGGGGCAGCCTGCACCATCCCGTGGGCAGTGGAGCTGCAATGCTGTAGGCTTGTTTGTTGTGGTTCACATTATCCGATCCGTTCTTTCTTGTGGCGGCCGGGAAGAAGCGAGCGTTTCTCACTCGAAAGGTCTGACAGGGCTGATCCGCTTTGCTCGAAAATCTTCTATGGGACTTAGGACAAGTGGATGTGGTCGAGCTATGTGCTTGCATTTGCATGGGTTCCTGTTGGGGTCACAGTCACACTTGCCCGGAGGTGGAGCGGCTTCTGAAAGAGCAGCCGGCGCGAGGTCAGCAACAGGTGTTTACCGACGTTTTCTGACTCCCTTTGAAGTACTTTTCTTCCCAGCTTCGGGAGTCGAGCAGCATCTGGCTCACAGCATCATAGACAAGCCTTGGTGGCAATCCCGTGCATTTTGTGTGATGACGATGATGACGATATGTGGGTCATTATCGGCTTTTCGCTTGTGTAAGCAGGTGGCCGAGAACGGTTCGTGCCGAAAGTCGATAGACCTGTCGGCCTAAAATAGCTGGCGGCAAACAGAGAGCCTTCCCAAAATGGCGCAGGCGTCTCCCACTCGTTTCCAGATCATTTGTCGGTCCATGCAGACCTGCTTGGTCAATCCTGTAGCAGAACTCAGTGGATGAGTGTCCGCGGGGCTTTGTCTAGCTCAAAGTCATTTCAATCGAGAAGTCGGTCTGCCTGGAACCCGTTCCGTCCGGTGGATACCAACAGAGTTGGCCATCCGACCTGGGAGGTTGCAAACACGTACCACCCTTCAGCCATCGGACTTACCCCAAAAAATAGCCACGGCACTTTCCATCTGACCCCACCTGAGCCGTGATCTTTGGGCATGTACACGTCCGCAGACTCATGCACAGGCACGGTGCGCACGCACGCACGCACACACGCACACACGCGCGCGCACACACACACACACACACACACACACACACATTCACACTGCCACACTAACACACGGACACACACACACACACACACGTACCTACATACCCACCTGCCTACCTACATATGGACACATACAAACACATTCCTACACATACATACGCGCATACATACATACATACATAGACCATTGCCGGTGTATATTCGTAAAAGTAGCAAAACGCAGGGGCCGTTTTCCGACCTCTAAACCATACATACGCACAAACACACAAACACACACATAAATACATACTTGCATGCATGCATACAAACACATACATACATATACATACATATACATATACCTACATACACACATACATACAGACATGCATACATGCATACGTGCATGCATGCAAGTGCACACATGAGTACACGAACGCCCGCACACACTCGCTCATTCATGCGAATACATGCGCACTCACACACGTACACATACCTACGAGCGTATGCATATACATACTCATACACACATCACTTATACACCCTACGCACATACATGCACATGTACGCATACATCCATGCATGCACCCACAATTAAACCCACACATATTCACACATACACACATACATACTACCTACCTGCATGTATGCATACATAAATGTGTTATATATATATATATATATATAGATATATATATATATATATATATACATTCCCATGCCGATAATATATACATTAACACTTACAGACGCAAACACATGTGCATACGTACGTATGTATATAAATATGTGTATAGATACGTGTGTGTGTGTCTGTGTATATCACTTGTATGTAAAGGCAAGAATAGATCTACATGTACATGACGAAACACATGCCTGCATACCTACATCCTTCTTACATGCACAGATAGATATCTGCATGCACATGTCCCGCAGGTCGTACAGCTAACTGTCAAGTGGAACAACCAACATGGGCAGGTTAGGGGCACTTTGTGTAACGGCCTCAGCACTCAATTGAACTCTTGGAGAAGCTGCAACCGTGTGCCACCGGGTTGAACAGTCACCTAGCATCCGTCGGGTGCTTTTCTCAGAAATTTGCACTTGAGGAGGAGCTTGCTCTCTCTTTGCTGTATTGCAACTTCCCTGACTGCGGCTCCATCAGGGTTTAGCAACCCCGCATCACGTGCGAAGACGCCGCAGCAGCACGTAGCATCTTTGGGACGGTCCAGGGCGACAGAGCGAGCGACATAAAAGAAGCTCGCCCAGCCAGGTTTGTGAGGTCTCTTGAACTGAGTTTGGCGGAAAGGTCGAATCTGACCGGGCAGTGACTTTTGATGCTTCAAGGATTGATTCGGCTACTGTAACTGTAGCTTTTGTCGCAGAACCCGGAGAACGGGGTGCACCAAATGTCATGCGACGATGATTCCCACTCCTGGTCCTGATATCTTGATTTATCGTCTGATTGTTCAATCTGACTAAAGCTGCACCGACGGTGTGGCGGTCAGCATGCGATCCGTTACAGTTTTACGACCTGAAGGCTGAAGCTGTCAGGTGGAGCGCCACGAGATCCAGCACCTCCTGCGCATGTTTCACCTTCCGGAGGATGTGGCAGACCAGGTGCGGCTGTGGTCACGTTTCGTTCACGGCTGTGTCTAACAGCTATACATCGCTGGTCCCCGGTGTATCAGACACTGTTGTCTGTGTCTACACTCACTGGCATCCAAGGTTTGTTTTGTGCTTCTGCATTCTCACAGAGCAAAAGTTGATGCATCGCCTTTTGTGTCGGTACGAAGGCTTGGAACAGCGAGTGTGCAAACCAAACAGCACTCAGTGCACCTGATACGCTTGAAAGAAATTGAATTCGAGCTTACACCCTGCCGTCATAGAAACATATCTTTGCAGGAGGCCGGTATCATGCGTGCAAGAAAACCGGTACATGTAGAACGGCAGCCGCTCGATTCGTCATTCGTCCCGGGTTACATGGAATCCTCTGAGGATTGACTATGCAATCTTTCGTTGGGGCTCATTTGCTCGACAGAGCGCCAGCTGGTTGTAGAGCTGTCGGACTGCTGACCACGAAACCACAGAGCCCCAAAGCTTCGGGATGGCTCGGGGCCGCCGATGCCTGGGTCTTGCTCTACTGGCCTTCTCGCTTGAGCCGCCCGGAATGCGTTGTCTGAATCTGATTCGGTTCGAGGGAAGTAGACCTGTTGTCGATGCTATCAGGACTTAGAGGGACCTCATGCATGTTGATTCCGCATGAAGCAAGATGCTTGAACCGCCGAGGTCACTTTGGGATTTCTCCTTACCTCTGCCCGGGAGAACAGGCTGCGCCTGTGAAGCTTCAAGCTGTCAGCTTGCCGACGCTGAATGCATCTAGTATGCTGCACGAAAGCCCGAAGCAAAATGTCATGCAGGGCAAGCATGAGGCCCGGGTCTGTGAGTCACCGGGACCCGAACCGCTGCTGCCGAACGACACCCAAGATGCCCTGAAGAAGGTGGGCAAGAGCCGCCGGAGCCCAATCACGAGAACCGCTTCGTCATCGATCCTCGCCTTTGGAGCCGGAACAGAATGGCTTGCGCTCTTTGGTATGTCAACGTGCCTGTTTCAGCCCCCCTTGGCTTGAATCTAGGGGTCTTCAGCTGCTCCGAGGAAGTGTGCAGCGAGGTATGCGGGAAAGACTCTAAGACGCATCTCATTTTCAGGATGTGGCCAGTGAGCTCTGGTATGGAGCGGATGATATGCTGACAGCCGGGCCACTTGCACCTGAAAGAGTACCGAGACGGTTGCCTTCAAGCATAAACTGCACTGTTGCACCATGAGTCACAAAAGCACCTTTGCCTGGCATGTTTGCCTGCATCCGAGAATAGGCGAGTAGAAGAGTGAGGAAGATTCATAAAGCATTCGGAGTGCACCCGAAGAAGGCTGTGAATCGAAGGTTTGCGGCGAGTTTGTGGAACTACTTTGCGCCGTGAAGACTCCCAGGGCCTTCATGGGCGATGAGGGTTGGGCCAACCGTGGTGAGAGCCCCGCCACCCTGGGCTCGGTCGGCATCTCTCTCAGGCTGTTGGGGGGGAAGTGACATTACCGAGGGATCGTCCAAAGGTCTTTGGGAAATAGGCAAGCAGATGGAAGCTCTTCGTCCAGTCTTGAACACACAGAGATTCTTCGTCAAACATGGTTCCGTGCCGCTATTTCTTTGTTTTCTTTGTGCAATACCTTTTCGCTTGCCCGTCTTTTGGAGGAATGCCGCGGAAGCTCTTCTGCTGGCCGATTGGTATGCGCCTTGGCTTCATGTCTTTTGTTGGACAGCCTGTGGAGGATTTCAGAAGCAGCTAGACCATGCCTGCCATATCCTGCCATATCTTGCCAGGCGGCCAGCTATCCAGCGTAGTTGGGTTCATGACATTTGATAGCAGAGTGTGCATGCAACAACGACCAGTCAGGATTGTTCGGGCGAGTTGGAAGTGGCTGGCGCCGCAGGTGCGAGGGCAAGGAGTTCCAGCGCCTGCTAGAATGACGTGCACTATGCACCTGCGCAGGCAGGCAGGCAGGCAGGAGGCATGCAGGTGCGCACGCTCGCAGGCAGGTCTGCTCAACCCCGTGTACAGCCACCAAACTGTCCGGCAGCTGTTTCCTGTCACATGTGCCCCTTAGCCTGAAAACAGCCGCTGCAGGCGACTATTATTTCCTGGAGGAGGCACGGACTGATATGTGTTTCTGAGGCTGCCAGGGTTTCGGCGGAGTCTGCCCGGAGTCCAAGGAACTTAAGGCTTGTAGAGCCCATTAGGCCAAGGTACCTTTCTCAATAGTAGATGGACCGCTGAAAATTCACATAGGTTCAGAAAGCTGTCTGCTTAGCTACAGGGCTACGGCGGACAGCAGTAATGGTTCTCGGAAGCGGTGACGGTCTCAGGCTCATGTCCTTCGTCCAGTGACGTGTTCTGCTGTTTTCACAAAGCTGTAAGCTTTCTGACTCGCTCGGCCACAAGATGTCCAAGAATCCCAAACAGCGCTTTTTGTAATCCGACCTTCGAAGCCCCAACATCCCTGAGGATTTTTTCGCAGTGGCTGCTGCCCTGCCCGGCAATGCGGAGTCGGAAGAGGATTTCGACACATGGGGCCTCGAGCAGGCTCGCGCTGATCTCCCAGCTCCGGGAAGGGGCTCGATACGATGCCTACCCTTGTTTACTTCAGGTCTATAAGGACTATAATGAATATCTTCCAGCAAGTAAATCACTATCGAACGCGTCGCATGCTGAGTGCAATCAACTTCTGCAGTGTATAAGAAATGGCTTTACAAAGTGCAACTGCAACTCATTGACTCCGAAGCCTTGGTGCATGACTGCAATCTTGTTGTGGCAGAATGCGCGCGAAGGTGTTGTTGCCTTGTCCGGCTGGTTTGGCCGTGTCCAGTCGAAACAACAAATCGCAGTCCTGTATATAGAACACCTCTCATCAAGAGACAACCTACCACCCATTGCAGCAAGCGTATTTGCTGGAATCCTTCATCGTTTGCTGAGGCTTTTGCACCAAACTGTAGACCCCAGCCCTCTAGATAGGTGCCTTCAAAAATGTGCAGCCAAAGGTTTTCGTGAACTCTTCTGCTGGTATCAAGACTAGCTGTATTGGTGTGGTTTCATTCCAGCTGACTGATACAGCCATTGGTCAGACTGGAGGCGGGAATTCCGAACAACTTCCAGCGTTTTCGCAATGCAAACACACGTAAATGAAGGTTGGGGACATGAACATGGACGACGGTACAGCGGCAGACCGACCAGACCACAGTGAATGTTACCTTTTCCCGCGATGAGTGCTTGGAAGCGGGGAGGTTGCACCTAGGCATATGCACAGGTGCACCTGGGCCCTGCCGTGCATTATCAGTTTGTTGATAGTTTCCCGCGGGATGTACCTGGGCTTGCTTTCCGGTCGTCAAACTGATAAGCGTTGTCACCTTTAGTTTCAATGGTCAATGCTGACCCAAGACTCTACGGCTCGACAAGACTTGGTCTTCCGACCCCTAACAGTGCGATGCACGAGTAAAAACACCATGGTGTGAAGCCATCTTTCTTACTATTTTACTTTCTAGGAAATCTATAATCTTCATTCTCTATCTTCTCTCTGTTGTTTGCGGCCTTTTAATTTAAATAAAGACAAAGAAGAGACGAAAGAAAAGAGGAACGAATGCGTGCTTTTCTTCTTTCATTTGACCACACACGAACGAAATAAGGGAACGGAATAAAAGACCAAATTTAAATATGAACGAACACGCTTCTTTTTCAATCATTGTTTCGTTCTATTTAAATTTAGCCTTTTGTTCCCTCTTTATGCTGTAGGTAAAAGCCCCAATTCCGTTCCTTTTTCCTTTTGACCAATTAAATGAATAAAACAAGCGGAGTGCGTGTTTATTCTATTTAATTAGGGCAAAATGAGAAAAGGACAGAACGAAATTGGGCTTTTTGGTTCGTACGTTCATGAAGGGCACAAAGGGGAACAAAAGCATGCACTTCATTTATCCTTTGCCCCTTTGTTTCCCTTCATTTCACTTCTCACATAATATTTGGCCCGTATCCGCAGTCTGCGCCGATGGCAGATGCCGCCGTGGCAGCCCTTGGCCGACTCAGTGAGGAGGAGCCGGGCCGGGATATGACTCTTTGATTTCGGTGTGTCAAGAAAGGTCTGATACAAATTTCTTGGGTACACAGGCTTTGTACGAACAGGCTTTAGATAGATTTCTACACTCCGCTATCACGTTTTTATGATAAGTTACATTCCACATTGCTGTATGAACACATATAGCTACACAAGCGCACTTGCATACAGATGCCCTTAAACTTACAAATGCATGATGCAGAAAGACAGGTGTCAACGGTTTGACATATTCTGTAAAACATGATGGTCTTCATGAGCTGGCGATATCGTTCTTAGGAACCGTTGCAATTCTTGAACTTTGACAGGGATCCCACGACTTAGAGTTGCAGTGGATCCTGGCAAGATCGTTTGTCGAACCTGCCAGGCTCAATATTCTAGCAGGCAGGTTGGTTTGCAAGATGCAGTGGGTGCGGTTCAACTCCAGCAGGGTTATAGATTGCCGAACTCTCATGGTCCTACATATATGGAATCGTCCGCACGAGCGTGTCTCAGATGGACTCCTTGGCTGGACGGATCAGTGTGGAGTCGGTGGCTGGCCAGGTGCGTAGCAATGTGAAGACAGAGCGAGGGGAGAGAGAGACACAGAGAGAGTGGCCAACACATTTTCCCAAGGGACAGTGTACATATACTCAGTATACCCAATTGTCGAACATGTCGCTACACTAAGGTCACGGCCGGTGTAGGAGTCCGCGGAAGTGCTCAGCTCTTCATGCAAAGTAGCCGTGGTGTGAGTTTGTGGTTTGTAGTGCCAGGGGAGCACACCAGCACGTATTTCGAGCAGATCCCTACCTACAAAACCCGTCTCGAGGCACTAAGCCGAACTGCGGAAAACTGGCGCAGGGCTGCGAGGCTCTTCCAAGGCAGCACAAGCCCCAAAGTTGAGTCAAAGATTGCTTTTAGGCAGGTGTCGGAATGCGGCATGAGTAAGTGTCGTGGTTCCCTCTTCGCAGCATCTAGAACTTGCTCACATAGTGTGAGGTGTGTGGCCATCAGGGCGCAGCTGGTGTTCCCGACTGGAAGTGCAATGTCGAGCTTTCTTCAAGTCCTCGAGCAGTTGTGTGTTCAGGGTGTTTTTGTCGCTTGTGTTCGTTCATTGAGGAGCCTTGGTTTTGCGACGCTAATTCTAGAACTGATGCTGAGAGCCCACAAGCACTGCTCAAGGTGAGCGGGAGCGGCTATGTCAGTCGCCATGTGTACTGTTCCGATTCAGAGCCTAGCTCAGACCAGCTCGAAAAACGGAGCAGGCAAGCCCGCTGACGAGTCGGAGGAGGCTCGACAAATCTTGGCGGACTGTCGTCGTCATGCAGTTCGTATGCAGCGCCTAGGTCGGCCGTGCCACATTCAGCTCCAACATCTCCTGGGAAACTGCCTGCCCATAATGAAGCCAATTCTGTCCCGACGGACGCCGCTTGCGTACACCTGCGAAGCCGCGAGGTAGAGAGACCGGACTCGGCGGCGCTGCCCGCCAAAGTTCATGAGGCTCTCGCTGAGGCCACTGTCCGATCACCCGATGCCACCAGTCTGTGTCGGAGCAATGCGCAGTCGACAACTGTTTCCAGAATCCTTTTTTCTCCCCAACAATCCCATTTTTCAAGGCCACTCCTGCACCTCAAAGTTGAGAAGGAAGCACGCCTTATCTGTTGAAGTCATGCTCGCTGTGGTGGTTGGCAGGCGATGAGTGACGCGGAGCGCCAAAGCACGCTTCGCAGGCTTCTAAAGGAGTACCATCCAGATCAGAATCCTGGCGAAGAGGACCCGAGCGAGAGAGGGAAGCCGCAGCCGCCAAAGACGTGCCGAATCCTTCATTCAGCTGCTATTCAAGCGTCGCAAGGACGACGTACTTCCGGTCTTCCTCAAACTTCAAGAGCTGCGGGAGCGATCTGGTGACTGAGCTGTGTCTCGGCGACAAAGTTTCTATCTGATTCTCTCAGTAATGTCTGCGTATCCAGAGACTCTAAGAAGACCTTCGCCCATCCTTCCAGAATTCCATGCAGAAGTGCTTAGACTTCCAATTCCACGGCATGATTCCCTTACCAGTCTTGTCTTGCTCTTCCACGACCGGGCAGCACCCCGACACCATGACTGCATTACATTTGCGCTTCTCGAGCAAACAATCACGAGGTGATTTCGTGCAGCCCTGTGAACGCACGATACTGGTGCCAGTGATGCAACAGGAGCTCGACGACGAGGTAGGAACATGCTGCGAAGATTGCGAAGAGGCAAGCTAGAGATTGCTGCAGGGGAAGGTGGAGACGGCTATGCTGCCTCTGCTTCATCAACATGGAACAACGCACAGTAGCAGCAAGTTTTGGCACAATTGCCAACTGCTTGGAGTGCTTGATGCGTTTGGGTTGATCTGTTTTGGTCAGCGACGCCAGACTTCTGCGTTCCGAATCCTGCGCTGCCGATCAAAAGGACCGTCCAAGCGTTCAAGCGATGGTATCAGCCTTGTGCTAAACAGCTGGTCTACTGCGGTTAGTCGGCAGCTGCACCAGGAGAGCCCGTGCACCATGGCTTGAAATTTGCAAGAAATGCTTTCGGTCGCGCCAGTTCTTCAGCTATTTGGACACAGAGAACCTGGGCTCTCTGGATTTTCAGGTGGGCAACGGGAGGGGGCTCTCAGCATTGGCCAGTTAGGGTTCCTTGGAGTGACTTCTTCCAAACTCTGAATATGCAGAAGATGTTGGCTTCCGCCGGTGTCCTCAGACATGGCCATCAATCTGCAACCGCAGCATTCCTCCGCGCACAGCGCTGATAAAGGAGCCCCTGACTATGGCTTGTCTGATGCAGGAAGTTGCGAATGTCATCGGCAGCAGTCTCAGGTTTCAACATGGCAGCAGCCAGGGCAATATTGCAAGAATGAGGATAGGGCCTTTCTAAAGTGAGCAGCATGGGCTCGTGGCACCACATGATGAAGACGGCCCTTGCAACATTGCACCAGCTTTTTGGGATTTGAATCGTACGAGGATACTGCATCATCTGCAGACACTCAGCAAGGGATCAGGTCATTTCGCTGTGAACGTTTGGGAGGCCTTTCGGGGTTCTCGAAGAACTGGAAACAAACTCGTGGGCTGACTGCCGAGGTCAGTTTATCAAGCCAGGATACAGGCGGAACGGAGGGGCTCGGGACTTGCGAAATTGGAGTTGAGAAGAGATTTGGCACGGCAACTGACTGCCAGAATTCAGGGTGTCGCAGCCCCCCGACTTCAAAACGTCGTAGACGCGTGTTTGTGTGTGTGTGTGTGTGTGTGTGTGTGTTGGTCTGTGTGTGTTGGTTGCCGGACAGAGCATCAGGAGTTGAGCTTTTGCCTCATCGCGCCCTTAGTCATGGATGGCATTTGTAAGATTTGGAAGCCCAAGAAGCCTGGCAAGGACCGAGAATTGGATCCCTCATTCAGTGATCAGCGGGGGTCGACTTCGGAAACGTCTGGTGCCGTGAATTGTAGCGTCGGCAACTTGGATTGCCTAAACAACAGTCATCCTGACTGCGCTGTGTCAGACACAGCAGGTCACCGTCTAGGAGTTTCCTACAATTGCTGCCAATTCAAACTTCTCGACCATGGTAAACGGCAGTTCCCGCTTTCGCGCATTCATCAGGGCACAGCCAGCGGCCAGCCGTCGGCCCCCACCGCCACCGCCGCCGCCGCGCCCGAGCTCAGCCCCGAAGAGCCATCCTGCAAGCGCCTGAGAGGACGTTTTCTAGGTGAGTCACCTTTTGTTGCTTGATTATAGCACTTACTTGATCCTTCGTCGCGGTGGTGGTCGCTGTGCTTGTGGAAAGTCATATTCAAACATCTGTTTGTCTGTTTGTTTGTTTGTTTGTTTGTTTGTTTGTCAGTGTTTGTTTGATTGGTTGGTTGTTGCTGCTGTTGTTGTGGTTAGTGGTGGTTGTGGTTGTTGGTTGTTGTTTGTTCTTGTTCCTGCCCTTGTTCTTGATAGTGATGGTGATATAGTATATGGTATATGGTGATGATGTTGTTGTTGTTGCTGACTGGGTTACATAGCCCGCCGTGCTCTAGGTTCGGGCGCAAGCCGTCAGCAATGCTGAAGCGTCTAGCAGTCTAGCATTCCGAGCATGACAGGCGTGTTTGTGGTGTCGATCTCTCACCAGAAGCTTCAGCGCCACCACAAGCACAACTCACGAAAGGTTGCACGCATACAGCAGCGATTTCGCTGGAAACGCAGCTCAAGATGGCCCAGCCCAAATTGCCGAGCACCACAAACGTTTAGACAAGAGCATGCGGAGCCCAATGCAGGAGCCCAACGCCCAACAACATTTGGGTTTGAGAAAAAACCCGGTTATAGAGATTTAAGAGCTGGTGGCCCTATATGTTGGATTCACTGTAAAACGATAAGGAATAAACTTTAACGATAAGATTTCTGTTTTCTCTGTCAGCATATCTCAGTATGGCAGGGATGTACAAGTAATGCAAAAGAACTCTCAAAACCCAAGTAAACGCAGCAAAGCTGCTTCAAGAATCCCGCAGTGTTGGTGCTGAGTCATATCGAGTTTTTTGGCCTGTGGTTCTTGTGGTCATAGGAAACAAGACGAAAGAGTCCTCGCCACCCCACAAGAGCCCAGGTCAGACTAGCAGACGCCTGAAAGCCAGCAGCTAATCAACAAATCTACATCGTTGGCATTCGAGAACTGTGATTCCAACTTCCAAGTGTGGCAAGTGTATATTTTGACCCTAAAATCGGTTCGCGGTAGTGAGGTTTAAACGATAACCCGAACGATAAGGTTTGGGATCAGAAATTGTGCTTTGTGAGCACTTGTTCATGTTTGTATAGAGTCAGTACTAAACGATAGGAAGCATTCGGATCGAATGAATGCCTGCAAAGCGAGTGCGCATTACTGTTACCACTACTCTTATTAGTATTGTTACTATTGATATGAACACTACTAGCATTACTACTGTTATTCTTACTGTTGAACTTTTATTGTGAATGCATTGGTGTTATCATGGCTATTACTATGGTTATGACTATTGCGATTAACTAGTGGTGCTATTTTTATTACTATGTCCATTACAATTACTATTGCTAGTACTATTGCTATCACGACTAGTCACTACCACTATCACTATTACTATATACCATCACCGTCACTAGACTATCACCATTACCATTTCCATGACTATTGCTATTGCTCTTATTCTTACTCTTGCTAAGCTATTTATAACTAATAGAGTCTCAGTTTGCCAGTAGCACCCTTTTGCCCTTTTATTGTATGGGCTCCCTTGTTAAAACTGCATACAAGGAACAACTCCACCATTCTGGTCAACGGGACACTGCGGAACCAGGCAATATAGTATTATTGCTATTGCAATTATTATAATTACTATTATCTACTGCTGCTACTAATATTACCTTGATTAACAAGACCCCATAAGCTTTGGCAAGGACTGAGGCAATCATTCGATGTAGCCATATATTTAAACATGGCTCGGGGCTTGTAAAACGATAAGGAATAAAATAAAACGATAAGATTTCAAATAGGGATAGGAATCCTTGACTGGGTTTTTTTGCAAACCCATTTGATTGCAGGCACCCCGTCCACAGCAAGGCGGCGCCCAAAGTGTGGACCCAGAACCGCTGGAGGTGCTTGAGGGAATCTGGATTTCGGCTTGACATGCCACCTCGCGAACGGATTTAGATGTCGCGTCAGGGTAATGTACGCGTTTCATCAAATGAGTCTTTCGGTGGATCTCGGAGATTTTTTGGAGGTCTGGCGGACAAGATGTTGCCGGGGACATGTGAAATTATGGATTATGGAATTGTAGAGCGCTACTATAGAGCGCCATGCAGATTCTGAGTACAGCTGAGAGCTGAGACTGAAGCAGTATTCCCAATAATGAAGCAGCTCGAGGTCGAAAGGCCACTAGCACGATGGCAGCAACAACGAATGTCAGAACGCATCCATGAGGGCGAAACCTGAGCTGTGTAGCCGTCGAACCACTTGTACGAACTTCTGTCGTTTGCGTGCAGTAACACCTACAATCCTAGTTCCACGGCCTGTGATGTGAACTGGGCAGCTAAGTAGCAGCACATGTACTGGTGCATACCCTTCACAATACTGCGAGCATCATGCCATGAACGTATTGATTATCGTCATCACCGCACTATAATAATGCATGAATCACGGCGACCCATCCCCTCTCTGGAGTAATGTGCATAAGGGAACCCTTTTGCTGGTGTCATCAGATCTCCAGGCTGCTTTGCTTGAATTAGCAGGCCAACAAGCATCCGAAGAGCAGTCATTTGCACCAATTTGCACCTCCGCAGCAATGGGAGTAGATATATGGCTCAACATGCAAGTTTAGATTCCAGCTAATGTGGCATGAGTCATGAGTGCAGAAGCAGGTGCCAAGTATCGCAGCTGATTAGACGGGCCCCTACATCGATATTATCTCCTATCTTAAAAGCACCGAACCACGTCTATCTTGACCGGTGGAGTCGAGACTCCAGATTCGCCATGAGGGGCTGAGTTGGACCAATGTGGAGGAGAGGACTTCCGTCTTGTGGGACCGATCACGAAAGCTTGGAAGCTGCTGTCCCAAGCAAACCCCGTGTGCAGGAGACATGCTGACCAAGTGGATGAGCAGGCGAGGACCCAAGAAGTAGGAAAGGCCTGTGTTCAGTGAGAAGTGGTGTAAGCTATTTTGCGCTGTTTCTACGTGAGCTCCGCGGCGGCCATTCCGAACAACATCAAGAGAAGCATGATTTGTTGCCTTAGACGAGAGAGACAGGCAGAGAGAGGGTCACCTCGCGTGCTGGGGCGGGAGGGGTGGCACGGGGACCTTCGCCTGGCCTTTGACCTGCAAGACTGAAAGCAAGGTTCAACGATTGGTGAGAACCGAGAGCGTGTCTCAGACCGCGACGGCCTCCATGCACACTTGAATGAAGGTCGCGAAGCCGGAGGCGGCCCCGAAGCGCAAGCGCACCGTGGCAGCAATTTGGGCTTCTTCGTAAGTTCTCGTTGCCAACCCAGGGGGCAGGATCGCAAGTCGAGTACGCGGCCAGTGATCATGATATTATGGTTCATGCTGGCCCAAAAAGGTCTGCAGTCTTGGAGTGGTAGGGGGCATGTCCGTATGGCAGCTGCATAGCACGGATTCATTTCAGGGGGTTCTATTGCAGTCGATTGTTGATTAGGCCCTTACACATTGGCCAGTCTGCTTCGGCTTGTCGTGGCATGCCTGGCTGTGGTAATTGCACTTGTGGGTTTTGAAGTTTGCGTCAGGGCTCGCGAGGTCCCTGGAGTGCAGGGTGCGAAAGCCAACGAAGCTGCAACTGCTGCGCCATGATTCCTGTGAGAGCAGGAAGCTGCATGCCCTTCTCGGGAACCTACGAGTCTGTTGTGCTGCTGGGCTGAAGTCGTTTCAGGATGTACACATTGGATTCCGGGCACAACTCCCGACAGCAGCGCTTTGCAGAAGCACGGGTTTCTGGAACCAGCCGCAGCTCGAGCACCAAACCCGAATCTGAAGCCCCAAACACTGCTCAAGCTTACGGTATTCGTCGACTCATCAATGTTGAAAGTTGCAATCCCAACTCCAGGTGGCGATCGGCAGTTTTGGTCTGGTTTGTGTCACGACAACTTGCGGTTCGCGTGATCGCATCAGCTGAGACCTTCACCTGTTCATTCTGCATGCTCACTTGTCAGTCTCAGGGCCTCAGGGTATTGTGACTTTGCAGCGAATCCGTGAGAGCGCCCAGGGAAGCCATCATCCGGCCGCCGAGGGCGCCGTACGAAGCTTCGAATTTGGGCGACTAGGCTTTACCACACCACTTGTAGGGGCGGGAGTCGGCGGGAGAGCGGCCTGATTCGTTTTTTTGCACCCCTCGGATCTGCCAAGATTCGACGAGCATACGTGCCATCCAAGAGGATTGGAGCTCGCAGTGGTTGCTGAGATCACTAAGCCAGCACAAACGAATGCGGAGCCAGCGTTTTCATTCGAGCCAAGCATTAGGTTTCGGGTTTGGGTAACGTACTCGCACAGCAACTGAATATTATCCTCCCTGTGCTTGTGCCAGCTAGCTGCAGCAACTCTCCTCAATGGATGTGGTGTGGCACCTGTTGCCTCAGCGTTCTTGCCAAGCACTTGCCATGCGTCCGAGTATACAGTGGCACCGGCGCTTGACCAAGACTTCGTCCTGCTCAGGTCCTACGAAGTTTCTCCTCCAGGGCCATGTTTTCAAGCGTTTTGACCTTCAAATCACCAATCCGCGAGGCCGGCGGATGGCTGTTAAAGCATGGTAACTAGATTGACTGTGTTCGGAACTCGGGTGTCGTCGCATCGGCCTGCTCGGAAAACTGCCTGGACTCAGCGAAAAGCAGCACAGATTCCCCATTATCCGAGCCGCACGAGTTTTTCCTTGAGCATTGGCAGGCCTTGCGCTGGAGTGCAGCTGGTGGCGTCCGCGGAACAGGGAATCTCAGGCTGCACAAAGCAGACAAAGCAGCACAGAGACGGTTTGGATGACACTGAGAGTGTCTTCTCGCGTGGCCGTGGATAAGATTGAGGGGCACCCGTATCTCGTACAGTTCTGGGGCACGAGGTTGGATGCTGTGTGAACTGTGGACTTGCTTTTGGTGGACGTGGTCCAACTCACCCTCAACCGACTGTTCTCAAGCAGAGTTTGTAGTTTGTCATGTAAATTTAAATCTTAACTGAAGCAGCTCGCATGACATAGGAGGCAGGGGTTCCGTAGAGCTGGAATCACGAGGAGCTGATATCAGATGGTCCACTACCCTGCGTCGCCTTCCGCCTGCAGTAGCTTCAGTTTAATTGCAATTGCGCTGGGCTGCACACAACGGGCCTTCAGACGGGAATTCGATTGTGGGAGCCTTGAAAAAGGCTGATTCGTTTACAGAGAGGACCTTGTGGAGGCCTGGGTTTTTTGGGCCTAGTACAAGTAAACATTTCATATACCCTGTCTGATCAAATACGACTTTCAATCAAACACTGAGATTACAACCCGTGATCGACTTTTGCATATAGTGAAGTGGATTTGAAGGTGTAGCTTCGTTTAGGGGTGCATCCTGCCAGGCTAAGAGCCTGGGATCCAGACCTCCTCCCGGGCAGGGGCAGGGGCAAAAAAGAAAGAAAGACAAAAACCACAATGCAAATACAAATTTGCCACTCTCCAGGACCCTCCTCCTCCGCCCGCCCCCAGTCCTGAGACGGCCTCAATCAAATACTGGACATTACAGCCCCTAGTTTCAGAATAAGAAGATAAGTGGCCAACCTCCAAACAGTTGAAGGGAGAACCTGGTCCACCAAACAAAGCCGAACTTAGCGTACCGCTGAGAAGAATATTGGAACCGTAGACTTGGCAATTTCGATGCAATGAAAGAGATACTCGTAGGTGGTGAGGGACACCGGTGTCCCAAAACACTCCCAAAACCCCTAATGGCACTAGTAGCAAGGATTAGTGCAGAAAACAAACTTACTAGTAAGGGGATTGGTGCCGCAGAAAAACAACCTCAAGTACCAAACCCTACATAAGGTGACTGAGCCTCCAAGACCCGACGGGATAGTCGGGCAAGTTGCGTGACAAAGCCGAAACCCCCCAAAGGAGTATTGTCTGCTGAGAATTAGCAGCAGTGTTGTCTTTATGAGCTGCTGCTCAATGGGAATGTCTGCTTGCACATCGGACTCAAACGCATCGTCCGGATTGTCCATGCTGGTGTTGTCGTTGCTGCTGCTTGTTCTGTTTTGTTACGACAGCAGTGAGTATACTACCACCTCACATCACCGTGATACTCCATTTCATCTTGGCAGCAAATGTCAAGTGAAGCGACCATGCGCCAATTGTCCATAGAGTGTGGGTGATGTGTCATCGGTGTTGGACTAGAGAGCTCTCACCGGATAGAGCAGCGGCACAGTGAAGGTTTGCCTTCATGGTAACTCTTCCTGCCGGCTGGAAGCCATGCAGCACGTGCGCATGGCCGGGGTCTTAGCCATCCAGTGACTCCCGCGTGCGGGGCCGCAACCTCTGCATGTTTGGGATCTGGATTGAGGGCTGCTGTAGAAGATGTGACTACGATGACCGCAAGCGCCCAGAGTCGTCTCGAAACTCAGGTCCTCACGCGGGGCATCACTATGTTCGCCTTCGACTTCGCGGGCTGTGGGCTCTCCGAAGGTCCCCCTGAAAGAGTTTATCTTAGACTGCATTGACTGGTAGCTGTGCTCCTTCAGCTCCTTGAGGTTTGCAGCGAATCTTAGACCCGATCGTTGCACTCCTGGCCAGGTGACTACATCACGCTGGGCTATCACGAGAGGGACACTGCAGGGAACCCTCACCAGACCTCCCACGATTCAGCGCCGGGGGTTTGCTAGAGTTTACTCCGCCAGCAATGGTTCTGCCGGACAAATCCAGCATGCGGAGCCCCAGCAGGAAGTGCTGGACAACCTTTGAATGCATGGGTTTGTGACTGCGCCAGTTCACGGGTAAAAGTTTGTCTAACACTCGCACAACAGTCGCTCGACTGGAGGAGGATGTCAGCACTATCATCTCCTACCTCCGGGAGAGCGGAGAGGCGGCGTCACGATCCCCAAAGCCAGACCACCGCTTCATAAGTGCAATTGCGGGCATGTGATTATATCACGTCATGCCCATGCGCATTTGCATACTCTGGCGATGTTCCAGGGCATTTGGGCCTGTGCCCGGGTCTTCATGCATTGGAAGTGCCGAAAACGCCAGGTGTCGACCATTGCATTATGGGGCCGCTCCATGGGTGCGGCAACCGCCCTACTGCAACTTGGGACGTTTAAAGTGAGAGTTGATCGACGATGGCAGGAAGCAATTCAGAAGGCTTTCGCGTCCAGGAGTCTAGGTGCCATCTGCTATCACGAACACGTTCGGCCCTGCGCACGCAAGACACTGCAGGATTCCTTGGCGACCTGTAATACCGAGGCATGGGCACCGCGATCCAAGCATTGCAGGTTTGGTCCTGGACTCTCCGTTCTCCAGCCTGGAGATGGTGGTAAGGGAGCTCATTGACGCAGCGGCTGCATCGGATGGCTCTCAGGGTCTCAGCAAGAGATAGGCTTTCAAAGGCTTGCGGCGAGCGTAGGGCCCAAAGATTCAGGAGGTCAGGAGGTGGTGTTGCTTGACCCTGGCAACTTGACCGAGAGATTCCCCTTTCACATCTGCAAGGGCTCGAATTTTCAATACCTGTGTGCTCCTGGCAACAAATCTAAGCCAGCCTCAGCTCAAACATACCAGGCAGTGTCATGCGAACTCGTTTCCTTCGTTACACGCTTTCATCGTGACGCGTGACCACCGGTACATGCCCAACCCACTGACAACCGTCCTCTTCACACGCGTTTCTGACTTCCATGATGCCGTGGAGTATTTGTATATATATATATATATATATACATATATATATATATATTAACATATATATATATACATATGGATCTTGTGACGGTCGGAGCACCTTGTGGTAAAAGGCAAAGTTGCGAGGCAACTACGAACCCAAGGAGCTTCAAGCTCCACGGACCAGGATAAAATGCCGCTGCGCTTTAAGCCATCTCTTCTGGTTGCTGCAGCGATTCGAATGGTGCGGAAGACGGTCCTGAAGCGCTCCTTGGCCTGAGAGTCGCAGAAGCTCATGGCCTGGGTTTGAGCTTGTCACAGCTTGTCCTTGCCATGCTGCCTGGCTACCCCTTTGCCCCTTGCTTCAATGCTGATCACTGTCAAAGGTCTGCTTACGTACTCGTGCCTTCTCGCACTCGTTCGCTCAATCTGGGGCAGCCAAGTCTATGCCAGCCGATGTTCCTAGACGGTCGGAATTTTTTTTCAGTCACTAAAGGCATCACGTGAGTCCTGAGGGACGAGATTGGGTGTCGTCTGATGGGTCACATCATTGTTTTCGTGCAGCCGCACGACAACAACTTGGTAATCCACGGCAATGTCACCTCGGCCCTGCCTTTGGAGCGAGCAGGCTAACCCAGTCTCAACCACAGATTCACCACCTGCAGCTGCCAAGACATGAGGAGAAGCAGTCTCTTACACAACCCGGCTATTGCCGAGACAATCTACCCAGGAGGCAGAACATCCTATCTGTGCATGGTGCGGTTGTAGGAGAAGCTGATATGACAAGTGTTCAACAACCTGTGCACGTGGCAGGCTTTTCGGCTGATCTTGGTCCCCTACACACTATAGTGTCCACGACCCTCAAGCAGCGGCCCTTATGCCCAAGCATCCAGCTCTCATGCCGGCTTCTAGGCACTGGCATGGACATCCTCAAGCTGAAGCCTATTGAGACGCCCGGTCAGGGTTCGTAGGGCGGCGGGCTTGCAAACCTCTTGCCTGGACGAAACCGCGGTCTTGGATATGCACGAAACAGGAGAATGTAGCAGTGCTTGACGAAACGGCTCTCAGAGAGACAGCGTTTTGTTGGTCTGGACAGCCGGCGATCCGGCATTCAGAAAATCAACCGTTCAGATGCCTCTCTGAGGAACGTCCACACATGTTTCATTCCAGCTCTCTTCGTTGCGGGTGCTCCTCAGCTGCAGACAATCCCTCCGATGCGAACCAGCATGGGGCCGTGCCGAAGTGTCCCCGAAACCGAAACGACTCCGCACTGTCCATTGACCAGAGGGCATCAAATTGTCCAAAGCTCACCAGCGAGACATGAGATGAGGTCAACGACGATCTCATCGACCCGCACCACACCCACGACATCCATGAGCTGTATGCGGGCGACAAGAACATGGCACGAAGGGGATAAGTGATTGAAGGGAGCCAAGACTTGTGAATGTAGCCGTCGCGCGGATTGACTGACACAGCTATAGCGACAGCAATAGTGGCATTTACAAGAACAGCGGAATCTTTGAGCAAGAGATATCGATGTGCACCGCTTCGCCTCAGACTTTTGCCAGCAAGACTATGGTTCCAGTCTTCGCATGTACTCGGTTTCAGTTCGGGATTGGGCTCCCGTCTCTGCATGAAGCTATATGGTGTCGCTCATTAATAAAAAAACACTATTACCTTGCAGCCGTGCAGGTGTTGATCGACGGAGATCACAACTCAGCCAGGCATCGAATTTGGGAAGCCAGACAGGTTTGTGATGCATCGTTCATTTCACCAGCCCCCAGCGGCCCTCAGCGGTTGCATTGCTGGGCCAGCGGGTTCTCGGGTTTTAGACAAGTCTGGATGTAAGATTTCAGGGTTGTCTCGAAAGATCGATTTGCGGGCTCCTCGGATGGGAACCAGTTGCACGGAGAGGTGCGCGAAAAGATGTGCCCCTCACTGACTGGTGAGGCCAGAGTACCTGGTGGACAGCGTCTCCATCTTCTTTTACGCTGCTTGCTCGCACTGTCCAGCCGGCCCTCAACCACCACCCATCACCGACTCATCCGTCTCAGCCGTGGAACGGACAACGTAAGACGGTATGCTACCCTATAGAGGTCATGACGACATAATCTGGAGGACGATGCAGTTGGAAGTTCGCTTGCGAGTTGTGCATGTCTTGGGAAGGCTTGTGGGGTAGGTGTGTTTGCAAGAGAGGGTGGAGGTCATGCGGACAGCTTCTGAACATCCGCCACCAAGCTGACGGCACTTCAATGGCGGGCACTCGTGTCGGCATATGGCCATGAAGGTTACGTCCTGGAGGCTCCAAGCTCAAGTTAACATGACCTTTCCAGTCTTGCGATTCAATCCCTGACTCACCACTAAAATAATCGCTAAGTAACATGCCGACTGCCGATCTCAGGAACGGCTCTGCTTGCCGGCAGGCCGGAAGAGCCAAGAACTGCGTTCCAGACCATAGAGTTGGATGTGCAGGTTTCATGCGGTTTCGGGGGGCTGCCGGGCTTCGCCAGCTCGTGGGGAGCGTGAGGCAGTCTGCTTCTATTTACGTAAGTTGAAGTCTCGGAATGCAAGGCAAACCGACTCTACTCGTGTCGAATCTCGTCCATAAACACCCTGAACTCCCAGACCTTGATTTCCATGTTTAGCTGGAGTTTGTATCTCGGAGGACTTCCCGGCGAGCTTCCGCCTGTGCAAGTGCCCTTGGGACCGAGCGGCATGCCGGAGCAGGCTGGAAGCCCTGAGAACGGTTTCAGCCACCTATAGATAATATCAGATAATCATCAAGCCCTGCAAGGTGGAATTGCATGTTCAACATGTGATACTCTAGGACACAGGTGAGGCGCAAAAGACTCAGAGAAACGGGGCGAACAGCAGAGAGAAACTTGAGCAATGTCGCCTCTGAGAGACTGGTGAAAACAGCGCATGTGCAAACACAGTAAACTTTGCCCGAGGGCGCAGCAGTCCTTCAGACCTGCTCCCCCGCGCAAGCCCGAAGAACCGGAGTTGGTGTTATGCTCGGGAGAAGTGGGGACCTCTTCATGCTGCTCGGATGGTTCTTCCTCTGAGATCCTCTAAGTAGCCTCTCGGGTAGTTGAAGTTATAGTTCTGAGACCATCGGCGCTCGATTGTTGACGGCAGCCGGAACGCATACTGTAAACGCTCTTCGATGAAGTAGTGACCAATGCAGATGTGCTTGCCACACTCGTCAGAACAAAGAATCCACGAGGAGAGCGGTTTGGGCATGGATGCTCGCAGCTCCGGCATCTTCGGCCCCGGTCTCAGCACAGCACGGGCATGCCAAAGGGAGCATGTGGCAAGTGGGTCGACAAGCACCTCGACGTTGAAAAAAATCCGCCAGCTCTTCATTCCAGGTGAGGACAGCTCGTGCAGAATGTGGGAATATTACGTATTTGCAACACTGTCTTGCGCATCATCCTGCAGGATTCAATTCGACCGAAACGACGTGCTGTGTTGGGGCGGGGTATTCCAAGCGATCGCACCATGCTTCAGAACGCAACGCCAGTAGCTTCGAAACGTTTCGATGGCAAGTTGTTTTGGGCTAAAAGCTTTCGACACTCTCAGGTCTGGTTTACCTCACGGAGACAGACCATGTTGTGCACAGCTGTTACAGCCTCCGTCCCACTCTAGCTAGGGTATTTTCAATCGCCATCGGGAACTGCCCGAGACCCGAGACCGTGGTCAGTCTCATCTCCCATGTAGGTGAGATGGCGGATCCCGACGATGCAGCCATCCAGGAGGCAATTTTAATGTCTTTGATATCGCCTGCACCTGGACCGCAATTTGAGGACGGGATTTCTGGCTGGGGCCAGTTTCCAAGTTCAAGGTTTTCAGATGCGGACTGAAGCCCCAAGCCCGCGTCATCGAGGACAATCCATCCTCATGAGCCGGTGCGCCGCCAGGACCCCGAGAAGTTTTTGGGATTTGGGAGAGCGGGGGTTTGTTGAGGGTGGGGCGACACGGGTCTTCCTCAAGATTGTGCTCATAGCTTCTTAAATGGCAGTCACCTCCTGTGCCCGACTCTGTAATTTGCATGCCCTGGCACAGAGTCCCCTGCAAAATCTATCTGATGGTTCATGTACTCCCGATGTTTAGGCACTTTTCTGATTCAGTTCGGAGAGTGCTCTGCTGACAGAGGAGAACCTGTGTTGCTGGCTTCGGTCGGATAATGCCCTGAACAGACCCACAGTCCTGGCTGCAGAAGCAAATCGTCGATATGAGAGTCCACGCAATACAACATCCGCAAATCACACACTTTGCTCTGCACCTGGTGCTATTCCTGTTTCATTCTTGTTTCGTCTTCACATGTCTACATTTTGAACGTAGCGTGGTTTTATGGCATCCTTGCTCACTGGATCTCATGCGCCACTGGGTCGCCGCCCGTTTGTGTGTCCAAGTGCCTTGCAGGGGAATGCGGGGCTGACGCAAGAGAGTTGCCGAGACTTCTGTTTTCCGGCAAAACGCTATGCTAAGCCCCAAAAAATGAAAGCTGATAAGCCGTTGCCGTAGATAGTCTGTCACGCAAGACACTTGGACATTAATGCGGCATAGAGATCCCAAGCGCAGTTCGAGGGCTGATGTCCACGTCTTGGCGGCCACTGTCCCTGGCAGCAACCATCCGAGAGCCTGCCGTAAACGCATATGTCAGCACAGCTGCTTTTGGGGTCTTAGCCAAGCCAAGCCAAGCCTCCGGTCGAATCTACTATAGCTTTTAGCTCCAGTAAACACAGTAAACCACACACTCCATCCAACAGATACCAAGCGAGAAGTGAGAAGATGAGTGTAGACAGATATTGACAGGTTTTCGGGTCTGAAGGTCTTCGAAAAAAGCGTGCAGCTTCAGCGTAGGTACGAGTTTTGCTCCTGCTTTGTGAAGCCTGTCTAAGCCTGGGGCACGCAGCCATCACCGCACCACCTCTCGCCTGCAACCGTTCAGAGCTAGGCAGCGCACTCAAGCTTAAATGCTAGAGGCGCCTGCGCGTTCTGAAATAGTTGGGCTGGCTGCAGCCCAGCTTCCTGCAGATTCCCAATCAAACTTCAACCACCACCCGCAAGCTTTTTGGATGTGCACACGCACGAGAAGGGAGAAATCTGCAACGCAGCTATCCATTGCTTGCGATGTTTCGCCGCCGGCAGTCCATCGTTTCCTTTTGCTGCAGAGATGGCACAACCCTCTCCTGAAACCTAGCCGAGATGCTGCCAACATATCCGTTTCACAACTTGATGCCAAGCTGCCCAGCAGAAGGCTGCGTGGTGAAGAAAATTGCATCATGGCTGGCTCGTGATTGCATTGAACCTTGACACGCAACGATTGCATCCCTGTAGACACCTGCCGTGCCTGCTGTGCCTTTGGCGATGCCGGAGCCAAAACGTATATCCCTGTAGCACGTTGCGATTCGTCTGTGGTTTCGGACTCGTCTGTAGTCGTGTCTATAGATAATGGACTCATGGGCAAAGGCTCGGCGACTCAGCCAGACGCCCGCCTAGTTAGTTCAACTTGACCCCACAAGATCCCACAGGCGTGCTCACACTCCATCTTCTGGTGCAGGCCGAGATGAGACAGGTGGCTGAAATCATCGGCAGCAAAGCCACAGCCAAGCCTGAAGCTTAATCTCTGCTTTCAGGGGCAAGGAATGAATGAGCTCGCTGATCTGTTCGGAGCGATTGGAGGCGATTAGTCTACAAATGAAGTGATCAGTGAGACGTGGTGGTAACGACTTGGTGTTCGTGCAGAGAGTTAGGCAAGAGCTAGAAGGATACCGATGAAAACGTTTATTTCTTCTAACTTTGGGTGCCCCGCATGAGGCACGGCCGTGATTGGCTTTCGTTATATGAGGGTTTTAGTTTCGGCCAATGTGCAGACTGAGAAGCAGCCAAGTCTCAATTAATTACTGGCTTGGAGGAGATTTGTGGCAGGTAATTACCCGGTACAAGAATCGGGCCTTTATCTCCCTCTGTCACGACAGCCATCTCCTTCGGAGCTTGCTTGAGTGGTCATTATCAGGAAGGCTGCTCTCTTGATGCCCTCCTTCCCTTTTCAGGGATCAGCACAACAGACAGCAAAGCCGCTATCATTCGGCAACTTAGTCGCAGCAAACATCTGCACAACTGAAGACAGCAACGTTGTCTAAGACTGTTTCACGTTCACCGCAGCCGTCACATCTGAAATTTCATGGGGTTGATTCGGTTGACTGCCGGCTGGACTAGGCTGCACCTGTTGATGTCTACTTTGGCCGAGTTCGCCGTTCGCCAGGTACAAAAGCACTCGAGAACTCTTCCGTTGGCTCCATCTAGATGAAGCCAACCAAGGCATCGTCTCCCGCCTGGCACTCGCAGGGAAAAAAACGCAGCTGGGTCCGTTGCCGCATGATGGCCTCGGTGTTGCAGCTTGCATTTGTAGTATCACCGCGCATCTTTCAAGACTGTTCACATCGAGTCTGGCTTGGCAGAAGCCGCTTGCCCCCTTCTGCTCGTACATGCTTGACTGTGTCGAGGTGAAGAGTGCATACGTTTCATGGAGCTCTTCAATTATCCATCAAAGAGTGGCAGCTCGGCAGAATTGGCAGGAGATGCCAGAAGCGAGTGAGCTGGCGTGCAAGTCAGGCTGTCAGATGGCGGCCATCACATGCGAACCATTGGTGTCCTCTGCAGGGTCACCACCGAGCCGGGTAGCATGTGGCTTGCCTGTCCGAGGTGAGCAAATGTACAACTTTTTGTTGACGAAGAGTCGCAGCTCAAATCAGGCGGCTCTCGGGTGAGGGGCTGGCATCATGGTGCTTGTGTTCCGAGTGCCCGCTGTTGTCGTCTGGCTAGACAGTTGAAGAGACACGGTCACGGAGCCATGCCTCAAACTCTTGGCCGCCTAGTCCAGTCCAGTAGTTGAAGTCCCGGGGAGAACCTCACAGTGCATTGAACATCGTTGAAATTCGTTGAACCTTGTGCCCTGTCATACGTACACTGGGAGAGCCCTCACTTTTGCAGCCTGCTCGCTCGCGCTGTCCGGGAGGTCGACTACGCCAGCTTCATGCGCTTCTTCGGTCCCTACATACACCCACAGTGCGCTCACCGGGAGTAATCGGTCAAAGGAAAGTCTGCAGAGCATTGATGAGCTTTGTAGACAGTAACATCCAGCACCGTTTTAGGAGTCACGGTGGTTCAGCACCCTTAGCCATGCAGCTAATCGCGACTCAGGTATGAGGAGATCCTGCGGCAGCCGTGGACTAAGATTTGATAGCTGGCTGTCTGATAGCGCCAACAGTTTGGGGGCTCGTTGTCTGAAGGCCACGGACTTGCCGAGGTTTGTCAGTGGTGAGTCATGATCAGCACACATACAGGCGACACGAAGCCTTGCTTTCAGGGCTTCTGCGTGTTTGACACTCGCTATCCAAAAAGTCCCAACCTGTGTGAACAAATAGCCGACCCCGACTCAAGACGAGCTGACTCTGTGGCAGGCACGAGAAGATGCAACCTGCCGGCAGCCCTGATCCTAGTTCGAGAGCGACCCCTGCGCAAAGTCAGGTTCCTTACGGCAACAAGCACTCATGCTCCAGAGCTTGAGGCCTTCTCGTTTGACTCTCAATATCGCTTCAGTGAGGTTCGTTGAGATCTACCAGCCATTTTGCACCACCTGCCTGGCACACAGTCTTGTCGGCTCGCTGGTCCACTCTATCAAACTCCTGTCTGAGTCTAGCGGCGGAAATCGGCTCATATGAGAATGCCCTCATAATCAAAGCAGAGGCCCAGGCAGCAACCGACGCAAGCCACAAGAACAAGACCAATGCAGACTACTGCAAAGGCTAGACAAGCGGGACCTCGCAGGAGCTGCTGTCGAGGCGGCACAGTTGGGTCCAGTCCTTCACCGGCTTTGCCTCATCCGTGGAGAATGCTTGAGATTTAGAAATTGGTTTTTCCGGTCGCCACAAAATCACACATCCTTGTCGCACTGCTTGAGTCCAAAACTCTGCCTCGAGATTCCCTTGAGAAGCTTGCGCCCGAAAACGCTTCTCGGAGCAGACACCTCTGCCGGATCTACCTTGCCAGCACCTGCTCGACCTGCTCGGGCTGCTTCTGCAGAGTCTTCAACACCCCTGCAGGTCGGGATCTCGGAAAGGCTCATTTCTGCGCTGCACGAAGAACACGAGCTTCGCAGATTTAGGTTGGCATGCACGGGGCCGGTGGCGTTCTGTTACTACCAAGATCGCTGGATCCATCGCTGTCTGTTGAAGCAGCAGTCACACACAGGAACTAAGGCTGGGAGGCTGCGCCATGCTGCGTCTCAGCACTCTCACGTTTGGTGCCTCAGGTCGAAGGCATGGCCTATGGCAAGGATTCCTTGCGCCATTGCAATAGGGCTGTCTAGCTTCAGGGGACGAGGGAAAGCAGGAGGTTTGACCTGCCCAATGGCCCAAGCAGCCTCCCCGGCCTCTGGGCACTGCGGCCTGGCAGGACTTCGGCAGCCCGAACTCCAGCAAAGCCTCCACTTCTGTAGGCGGCTGGGGGCGGAGAAGGGCGTGTGTCGGGACTGGGACAGGGAGCTTTGTGGAACTCGAAAATCGCTTGAGGGCATCGGCAATGGAATTGTTTCTGCTTCTAATCTTGTCGTGAGTTCCGCGTGCTGGAAACAGAGTCCTCGATAATTCTTGCCACTCGACGCCACTCCCGGTCCCGAACGAACGACTGTTTCAGCACGGCAGGTGCTTGCGAAGGCTCCGACGCTTCTTCGGTGCCTTCGCTGCATCTTTTGCTCGGGCTTCGGAGGCACAGGCAAAGGCATGCTCTTGACATTTTTTGTATTTTGACATGCTACAAATGAGGGCATGCTAGAAATGAGGGCTGGCCAACTTGACAAGCAGCTGGATGCGAGATGTTGAACAAGAGGAGATGATGGTAGGAACAACAGCAACTGTCGACTCTGTCATCGTGGTACGGGGAGCGCTGTTTATGAATTTGGCCACCCAGTGCATAGGTACCAAGCTCGGCCCAGGCTGCGAGGTGCTTCCTTGGGCAGCTCAGGGATACAGAGGATTGAGGATTCGGATCGGGCTCTAGGGATTATGGATTTGCAGATTATCTTTTTGTCATGCTTGTTGTAAGTATTCTTCTAATACCACTTCGTAGAATCGGGCCCATGCGGGATACTTCGTGAGCCTCTCACTAGCTGTGCAGGTGTACCGGCTTAGACGGGGGGTGTTGCAAGAAGGACCTGAACTGCATGAGGTGTTGATTTCGATCTGTACCCTCATCGTATTCAGGGCTGTCCAATATGCACTCCTTTACTCTCCGGCATGGCTCAACCACTTTAGAGAAGCACATCGGTCATCACGGGCAAATATGCTTTCAGGTGGCGACAGGGAAATATGCGATCCTGAGCTTGGGAGTTCTTTATTTAAATAACACGAATTTCTGCATCTTGAGAGGTCTTTTTCGGAACCCAACTCCAAGGTTTGCTAAATTAGCAAGCTGAAGTCATGCGAGCTTATATCAACCTTCTCGGAAGGCCGTTCGCGCCCGCTTCTCGTGGACGCCTGAGAATTTTGCGGACTCTTTGATTCCTGGGTAGGGTTTGAGGTTGTGCATTTTGAGTTGGCTGGGGGCTGAGCGTCGCAATCCCCCTCGTGTTTTTGTTTGGGCGTATGGGCCAAGAACACCGGAAGATGATGGCGATTACGATCCTCATGTATATCCGGCTTACCAGCCCGCACACGGAGACATATCAAACTGGAATCCGTAGATGTTCGACAGCTCCGTGGCTTGCAAAGAGAGGTTGTAGAGGGCATTACTCTGTGTCTCCGGATCGGGCACTACGCCCGGGCAACGATTCATGACCGTGGTAGATCGCAAATCGCAACTCTTCTTGGTGAGTGAGATCTTGGCCTGGCAGCACTTCGTAGATGCTTCGTCGCCCTCTCTTAACTTTTCAGAACACAGAAAACCCTCCGCCCTCCAAGCTATAAGCCCCAGAGCTCCTGTCGATCTAGTTCGAAGGAGCCAAAATGCGAAGCCTGTCTTCCTGAACGTTCTGTTGCCATGACAAGAGGTCGAGTCTCGGGCGACGGTGTGCCACGGGTGCACCGGCCTTGCCGGCTGCAGGGTATTGAAGGATTGGGGAAGGTAACCGCGAAGAGCCCAAATTGTCAGGTCAGGCCCGTAAAGCTTCCACGCTTGTCCTCGTCCGGTTTCGCTCGGAGTTCATGTGCTGCCGCAGGAATCTGGCCTCGAAGACCGATTCGGTTTCACACCCTTTCTGCGAGAGGAGGTTCCCAGGGAAGTAGCAGCCACGACGTTCAGGTTCGGGCCCTCCCATGGAAGTCACAGTGGCACTGGCCATGGACATGTAGGCTGTAGGCACGGTGTAGGGTTAGTGATTTAGAAAAGATATTCCAAAGAATTGTGGATTCGTCATGTCCCAGTCCAGGCTACGGGCAAAATCGGTTGACTGCGACAAAACACTCAGCAAGGTTTCTGAAGTGGAAGGTCGGGGGTGTGGGGGCAGGGTGCAACCCCGAACTCACAACATAGACGCCCCCAGAAAACCCCCCTTCGGTGCAGGTTAAGCAGTGACAGCTCCGTCGCCTCGTCCCGCTAATTGTTGCCATGGCGCAACCCACTGCCGAAAGCAATGCAGAGGACGATGAACAGGCCTGGCTTGGCTCGCGAGTTTCAGAGCGCAAGAACTTATCAAAGCTCAATATAATACTCTTTGGGTTTGCAGAAATCGTGCTTCCTGGCTGCGGGTCACAGATGTTGAGGGCCCGAGCCACAGGCTTTAGAGCTCGCGGATGCAAGCATAACCAACCAGAAGTCTGCATGATATCTCGGTCCGACACAGCGCGAGTGACAGGCGGATGACCAAACTCCCAGAGTCGGGTTCAAGTTGCCTCAAAACGTTTGCGAGTCTCCCACCTGTCAGGACGATGGAACGATCCGCATCATCGAGACAGAAGCAGTGCTGCCACCGGCATTTGCTGCTATGTGGCGCAGCTGGGTATGCATAAAGCTATGCCAGCTACGGAAGCGTGTGAGATGACAACGTGTGCCTGTCAAGTCAGAGCAACCACCAAACAGTTACCAGTAGCTGTTACGGAAAGTAGTCCAGTCTGATTCATGCAATGTGGCTATTCTGTAAGTCCAGCTGCGGGGATCAGAGGAAGCGGCATCCTGTGCGACGTGGAAATTCGAGTTGAGGCATGCAGCTCGGCATAACATTGGAAACATGTTGCTTTCCCCTGCGCACAAGCGACTCACCAGTTTCTGGTGTTGACAACTCAAGCCTTCGACGCCACGCTAAAGCTGCGTTGTGGCTCTGGCTGGAAACGTACAGCACCTGGTTCGGCCAGCACCAAATGTGCGGTTCATGTCCACTGCCGAGGTTCATTCAAAGCTCACCGCGTTGTTCTAGCATCGTGTTCTGACTACATGAGGGTCGCCCGGCTGCCAGCTTTTTGCAACATGCATGCCTGGCTTTGATGTGTGTTGAGCATTAGGCCGTCAGTTTCCACTAAGTGGCTTCCGCATCTTTGTTTGGTTTGTTAAATGACGGGCTAGGACTGCTCGCGTGATTGATTCTTCTTTCTGTCAGTGAAACAGCATGTACTGCGAACGTGCCACCTGCCCATCTTCAGAGCTGCAAGCCCCATGCAAGCTTGAGCAGGCCCGGTTTTGCATTGGCATGGCCGACAGCAACTGCGAGTCGCTGGATCTACCGGACATGCCGGCGTCAGCCTTTTGAATGCACATGAATAGTCAGAGTCTGGAGGGG